ATATCACAGTCAAATTCCAAAACCCCCAGCTCAAGGAGAAACAAGAAAAAAAAAAACAATTCAAATATGGTGGAGCCACATTTAGAATCATACAGGATCTAGCAGCAGCAACACTAAAAGACTGCAGGTCTTAGAACATTATATATCGAAGAGCAAAAGAACTGGGGGTGCAGCCAAAAATATCATACCCAGCAAAGTTAAGCATAATCCTGAGTGGAAAAAAAATGGATATGTAATGAATTGCCAGACTTTGAGGATTTTATTGCAAAAAAGACCTGAACTTAATAGAAAATTTGACTTTTAAGATCTAAGAGAAAATACAAGGTAAACATCAAAGACTAATTACAATGGACTCAATAAGGACAGACTGTTTACTTTTTAGATGAGGAAATGTAAACCGTATCTCTAAGGTTGTAATTAATTATTGGGTAGTTTAAAAGAAAGATTGGGGTAGAGCTGAGTATGATGTGATTCTAAAAAGTAATACCATCTAGGAAAAGGTAAAAAGAGTAATTATACAAATGAGGTGTGAGAGGAATTAGATGGGGGAGGAAGGCTGGCTGTTCTGGAACCCTACTCTCATCAGGAATGGGTTAAAGAGGAAACTACATATATATGTGTGTATATATGTGTGTGTGTGTGTGTGTGTGTGTGTGTGTGTGTGTGTGTATACACACCCATACATATACATATATATCTAGAAGGGTACAAAAGTCTTCTAAATTCAGAAAGAAATAAAAGGCTCTGGGGATAGAGAGGAGAGAGAGATTTTTAAAGGGAACTCTCCTCACATCGGGTCTGGGTTAAAAGGAGAACAACATATACATTTAGAAGGGAATAAAGTCTTCTAAATTTATAAAGAAATAAGAGGGTGATGGAATAGGATAAAGGGAGTACAGAATGGGGTCTAGATTAATGGGAATGGGATAAAGAGAGAACAACATATATATTTGGAAGGCTATAAACATCTTCTAAACTCAGAAACAAGAGGACAAGGGAAAAGGGTTGAAGGGGCGGGGAGAGGATAAGGGAGGGATCTTTGGAGGGGAGGTAGATTAAGTAATAGGAGGGCAAGGTAGCAGGTAGAAGTAAAGAAGAGGAGTCAAAAGGGATAAGAAATGAGATACACCTAAATAAAATAAAAATCAGGAGTACGATTTATTAGGGGGAAAAAGCAAGGGTAGTAATCATGATCTCAGACAAAGTTAAAGCTAAAATAGATTTAATCAAAAGAGAAAAATAGGGAAATTATACTGTATGTCAGCCATATTAATCAATATTGTTTTAGACTAATTAAAATAACTAGGCAGTATAAGGTTGGAATTTTGCTGTGGTGTAGGAAATGATGAGTTGCTGGATTTAGAAAAACATGGAAAGACTTGGACTTACGAAGGAAAACATTACCCATTTTCAGAGAAACAGAGCACAAATATATCTTACATAGATGCATAGGAATGTATATGTTTATATATGTGTATGATTATAGATATCTATGTATATGTATGTATATATAAGCATATGTATGCATGTATATTTATGCATATGTGCACATATATGAATGTGTGTATATGTGTGTGTGTATACACACATATATGTATATATGCATGTCCATATTATATATATGTATGTGTATATCCACATTTAATTGTGACTTTCTTGGGGAAAGGTGGGGGAAGAGGGGGGAAGAACAAAGTAAAAAGCACACAGCAAAGAACACAATAAAAGCCATGAGAAAGTAAAGAAAAGGCGGACAACTCTGAACACAGTATCTAGTATTTATTATATAGATTTTCTTGAAATGGAAATTTATTGCTTTATATTTTGAATCCTGTCTTATGTTCTGCTGTGCACATGGCAATGTTTTTTATTTCTTTTCTTATTTTGTATTTAAGTGTTACTATTTGAGCTTGTTTTTTCTTTCTTTTCCTATTTTGTATTTAAGTTTAAAATTTAAAAAAAGAGCTGTGAGTTGGCCCATTTTTCCTAAAACAGTTTGGAATTATTTGAGAAGTCATTAAAATGTGTATACTCTTTGTTCCACTGATCCATCTACTGGCTACATGTCTCCAAAAAGATAAGTTCATACTTGCCACAATATTCGTAGTGGTACTTTTGAATAGCAAGAAAATAGAAATAAATTTGGGAATGATTGGAAAAACTGTTCCATTTGAATATAGCCAATGCTATTGTGCCATGTTTTTGTTGTTCAGTCATGTCTGACTCTTGTGACCCTGTGGACCATAATATACCAATACTGTCCATTGGGTTTTCTCATCAAAGATTCTGGAGTAGTTTGCCATTTCCTTCTCTAGTTCATTTTATAGATGAGGAAGCTAAGGCAAACAGGATTAAGTGACTTGCCTAGGGTCACATAGCTAGCTAAGTTTATGAGGCTGGGTCTGAAGTCAGCTCTCTGACTCCAGGCCCAGCACTCTACCCACTGAGACACCTACTAGCCTCCTATTGTGCCGCAAGAAATCATAAATAGAAGTAATTCAGAGAAACATAGTAATACTTTTATGAACTGATGCAAAAGGAATTAAGCAGAAGCAAGAGAATAATATAACATAATGTAAATGAAACAAAAACTCTAAATGGTATCCAAAGTCTAATTAACTGTAATGACCAAGCTAGCTCTTAAAAAATAGAAAATGAAATACATTTCCCTCTTCTTGGTATAAGGGTGGGGGCCTAGGGGTACAGGATGTTATATTTGCTATCAGGCTTATCTCACCTTTCTCCTTCCTTTAATCTGGGCTCCAATATGCTAAAAACATAATCTACTTCTCTTATACACCACCATCTATTGCTACTGTACCTGTATCTGAGGAGGGTGCTTTGTAAAACAGATACGTAGTGAGGGGACAGATCTGGTACTATTCCTGATCAGGTGGGTACCTCCAGGAAAGGCTATTACATCTGTTTCCCCATATCTAAAATAAATATCAATATCAATATCAATATAAAGAGATGGGTTAAAGCAGTGAAAAAAGCACTGGAATTGGGAACCAAAAGACCTGAGTTCAAGTCCCAGCTTTCTAGCAAGTATTACTAGTAACACTTACTAGTTGTATTAACGTGGACAAATAACTTCATCTCTGCTAATTTTTGTAAAATGGGGATGGGAGGTATCAGATTAGATGTCAGTAAGAACAAATTGATTTATTTTTTCTTTAAAAGAAGTTACTGATGACTTTGTCCCTATACCAAGGGCATCTAGGTGGTACAATGGAGGGAACACTGGGCTTGGAACCAGTTAATACTCATTTTTGTGAATTCAAATCTGCCCTCCAACACTTACTAGCTGGGTGACCCTGGGCAAATCACTTAACTCTGCTTGCCTTAGTTTCTTTATATGTATAATATGCTGGAGAAGGAAGTGGCAAATTACTCTAATATCTTTGCCAAGAAAACCCCAAATAGGGTTATGAAGAGTCAGACATGACTGAAAATGACTGAACAATCTGTGCCTATATCATAGTCATCTCCAAAAATGCCCACTCCATCCTCCCCCCATCCCCTACCCCTGCAAACCTAACCCCTTTGAAGCAGGAAAACAGGAAAAAAAAATTGACAAAATGATCTTGGCTGATAGTTCATGCAAAACTTTGTACCTGTAGTCCCCACCTCCTATGAAAGGGAGAAACCTATGTCATTTGATACTGGAGAGTATCAAGATTGGTCATTGCAATTAATTTAGATTCGTGTGCATATATTTGAAAAGCAGTCACTAGCCTATTATGATATCCCGTTATCATATCACATCATCCAAGAGAGATCATACAGTCTAATGACAGACATTAAAATTACAGTATCTTCTTTTTCCCCCTTTGAGTACACACAAAACATTGTCCCCTAGGGGAAAGGCCGGAGTGCTTATTAGCCACGATTTCATTTTGAGTTTCATAATAATCTGGACAGAACAAGCCCCTCAATTTAATTGGAGGATTGGGGAACATCCCCTACCACTCCCCTCTCCTCCCCAGTCAGCTCGAGCAGCTGGAGAAAGTGTGTGAATTTTGGAGAGGGAAGGTGTGAGCAACGTCAGTCAGTGTCAACAGAGTAATGGTCTTCATGCTGCTGGTCTGCTCAGGCAAGACAATACAGGAGGCCCCAGCAGGGTTGACAGTCACCGAGTCCCTGGTCTGGGGGTGGGGGGTGGGAGGAAGGACAGGGTGGGGGAAGGTGGAGGGAAAGAGGGGGAGGTACAGCTGACATTTCAAGGTTTCTAAATCCAAAGTCCTCTATGAGATAGTGGGAGGCACAGGGTTCTGACAGGTAGGAAATCGTGCCCTTGGCTCATCTCTGCCACTGTGTGACTTCAGACAAGTCACTTCTCCTCTTGGTGGCCTCAGTTTCCTCATCTGTAAAATGAAACATTTGGTCCTAAATGATATCTGAAGACCCTTCCCGTTCTAACATTCCAAGGTTCTGTGTCTTAGTGCAGAGTCAGAAATAATTCCTAAAAAGAAGACAGACAGCTCCCTGTTGCCAGAATCCCTTGCTATATTGTTGTTCAGTCGTGTCTGATATGTCATGACCCTATTGGGGTTTTCTTGTCTGGATACTGGAGTGGTTTGCCATTTCCTTCTCCAGCTCATTTTACAGATGAGGAAACTGAGGCAAAAAGAGTTAAGTGATTTACTTAGGGTCACATAGCTAGTAAGTATCTGAGGCTAGATTTGAACTCAGGAAGGTAAGTCTTGGGGCAACTAGGTGGCGCAGTGGGTAGAGCACCAGCCCTGGAGCCAGGAGGACCTGAGTTCAAATCCAGTCTCAGAGCAAACACTCGACCGTACTAGCTATGTGACTTTTGGCAAGTCACTTAACCCCAGTTGCCTAAAAAAAAAGATAAGTCTTCCTGACTCCAGGCCTGGTACTCTATCCACTGTACCACCTAGCTGTCCCCCTGCTATATAGCCTGTTATATAATTTCTGTGGAGGGCTATAGAAAATCTATGCAGCTTCCAGCTACAGAAACCTTCCAGATCATTTCTTACCTTCAAGTCTGCCAGCATTCTTCTCTCTTGCAGGTTTTGAGGGCTTCACCAAACACAAACACAAAAAAAGTATTTGGCTAAAATGCTGCTTTTTCTAGGAGACAGTTCCTAATCCACCTCCTTTCTTCTTCCTATCTGCTAGCAGTGAACTGCTAAGAGGAATTTCCAAACTGCTTGGTGTGCAAATGATAAAGTCCAACAAGTCTTGCTTAAGGTTATTGACATTGCTTAATGTGTTCTGTTTGTAGTTTGTGTTTAAAATCAGATCAGAACTATCTTGGTTGCAAGAAGGATTTCTTTTCTTTTTTGAGTTATTGACTAGGGGACAAAGGAGATAGGATAAATATCAGTCCAGTGAAGGGAAGATTAAAAAAAAGGGGTGGTACAACTTAGTGACCTTTAAAGGAGAGGATTTTCAGAGCATTTGAATAAAGTAATTTCTCTTGCTGGGCTTATCTTTAATTATTTTAATGAACCAGAAAACATTTTCTTGTCCCTTCTCCACCTTTTCTCTACTCTATATGGGGGGGGGGAGAAAAAGAAAAACCTTTGTAACAAATATGCATAACCAAGTTAACCAAATTTCTATATTACCATGTTTTTAAAAATGTCTCATTCTATATCCTGAGCCCATCACCTTTCCATTAGAAGGTGGGTAGCATGCTTCATTATTTGTCCCCAGGAATTGTAACTGGTTACTGCATTGATCAGAATATTTCAAAGTTGTTCGTCTTTATAATGTTGTTAGTATTCTATAAATTGTTCTCCAGTTCTACTTACTTCACTTTGCATCAGTTCATGTACATATTTCCAGGTTTCTCTGAAAGCATTCCCTTCATCATTTCTAACAGCACAATAGTATTCTATTACATTCAAATGCCATAATTTGTTCAGCTATTCTCCTTAGGTTTCAGTTCTTTGCCACTACAAAAAGAGCTGATATAAACATTTTTGTATCTATGAGTCCTTATTCTTTCTTTTATCTCTTTGGGTGTAAAACCTAGTAGCGGTGAAAGGGTATACAGTTTATTACCTTTTGGGGCATAGTTCCAAATTGCTTTCCAGAGTGTCTGGACCAAATAACCGTTTTACCAACAGTGCATGAAAGTGTGTTTTTTTTCCATACTGCTCCAACTTTTGTAATTTTCCCTTTTTGTCATCTTTGCTAATCTGATGGGTCTGAAGTGGAACCTCAGAGTAATTTTGATTTGTGTTTCTCTAATTAACGATTTGAAGCATTTTTTTCATATGGCTATTGATGGCTTGACTTTCTTCCTTAGAAAACTGCCTGCTCATGTTATTTGATCATTTAACAACTGAGGCATGTCTTTTACAAATTTGAATTACTTCCCTATGTATCTTGAAAATGAAAGGGCAGCTAGGTGGCACAGTGGATAGAGCACTGGGAGTCAGGAAAACCCAAGTTCAAATGTAGCCTCAGACACTTACTAGCTGTGTGACCCTGGGCAAGTCACTTAACTTCAATTGCCTTAACAAAAAAAAAAGGGGAAAAAATGAGACTTTTATCAGTGATGAGCTTTTTTGTTTTTCCTGTATTTGAACTAGAGGGCCTAGATGGAACATAATAAGAAGTAACCCTTGGTTTCTTACTAACTACAGCCTCTCAACAAAGCTTAAGGCACAGAGTGTCTGGTTTAAGGACCAGCAGCCGGTATCACTGGAAGGTAGAGTGAATGGGGGAATAAAGTGTAAAAAAAAAATTGCAAAGAAAGGAAAGGACCCTTGGAAAGGGTCAAACAGAAGATTTTATATCTTGAAGTTAGTAGGAAACCACTGCAGTAAGTAAGGGTAAAACTTGTACTTTAGGAAAATAACTTGGGAAGCTGAGTAGAGGAGACTAGCTTGGAGTGAAGAGAAACTCGAAGAAGGGAGACCAGGGGGATGGCTATGCAATCGTCCAGGCTCTTGAAAGTCCAGAGGTAGTAAAAGCCTGCATCGGATGGTGACTGTGAGTGGAGAGAAGAGGAGGTACATAAAGGATGTGAAGGCAGAAACGATAAGATTTGGCAACATATTGAATTACGTGAGTGGAGAAGGGATTTGAGGGCAACACTGAGGTTTCAAGTCTGAGTGACTGGGAGGATGGTGATACTCTTACAAGAGGGGTTTTTTTGGGGGTGGGGGTGGGGGAGGAGGAGAGATAATAAGTTCTATTTTGTACATTTGGAGTTTGAGCTCATCCTCATACATTCTAAGGACTTCTTTAACAGTTACCTGATTCCACATAGTCTTTATAATTTTGGGAGGGGTATTCTCAACCCAACTCCCATTCCCGCTGAACGGCTGAGTCCCCCAAAGCACATCTCTTGGTTGGGGGGAAGACCTAAGGTGTTGGTATGTCTTTCTCAAATGCTATTAGGGCTGGAGCCCTGATTAGCAGTGTGTTCTCAATAATAATCTCATTATAGTTTATTGCTCCCTGTATCATTAATGCCCTCTAGTGGATTAATGCCCTAGCACCATTTAACTAATCAGTACTGTATAAATTAATTCATTTTTTACAAAATGTTCATAAATTTCCCAAGAGCAAGAATAGATGTTACAAAGCATTTCCCTCCCAACACCAAGGGGCACACTCTCCCCTGTACCACCTTGGTCCCTACAGAAATTAGGCTCATCTTTAAAGCAGTTTCTGCACAGTATTTGCTCTACCAAGTTCAATTCCAAATGCATAGTTAGATAGAGGAGTTGTTTACACTCGGTTTTGGCTGCCTTCTATCCACTTAGTCACTTGAGACCAAAATCCTCATTAGGCTTGGCTGTCTATAAAACCTGGCATGGATTCAAGCTCCTAGACTTCTAAACGCTCACTTTCCTGACCTGAATTTCACAAGGTCACAGCCTTCACCTAAGAGCAGGAAAACAAAACAAAAACAAAAAACCAAAAAAACCCCCAAACCATAAAGAGGTAAAGAACAGTCATGTACTAATACCTTCCAGTTAACTGTATTAGTAATAATAAGTCAAGATGCTGAATTCTCTTTAAATCATTCTGTTAATGCATGGATGGTTCACATGATTCCCAATGCTTTCTATGTGTAATAAATGGCCTGTCCTATTCTGGAATCATACTGTACATCAGGTTCCTTTTCTCTCTCCTTCCTTCCTTCCTTCCTTCCTTCCTTCCTTCCTTCCTTCCTTCCTTCCTTCCTTCCTTCCTTCCTTCCTTCCTTCCTTCCTTCCTTCCTTCCTTCCTTCCTTCCTTCCTTCCTTCCTTTCTTTCTAGAAATACTGCACTAGAGGCAAAAGTAAATGTCCTTGATTAGCCCGGGTAAGGGTGATGAGTCAATGAATGTGAGAATGGGGAGCCTACTTCCCCTAATCAGGTGTCAAGCTTCCCTAACAGATGAATCCATGCAGACCACAATGAGTGGAGGACGGCTTGAAACTGAGCTGCTGTGGTCTCAGCTAAGCATTGTCTTTGGCCTCTATGCTGGAATTTATACACTGGCACTTTTAAGATTTATGAAGCCCTCTAATACATTTTTATCCAAGTCTCAAAATTGTTATGTGCAGACTACAGGATATAGGATTGTAGGATCATATTTTTATCTCCTTCCAATAGGGAGGGGGAAGGGAATAAGCATTTATATAGCACCCACTGTGTTCTAGGCACTGTACTAAATGTTTTACCAATACTTATTTGATCCTTACAGCAGTCCTCCAAGATACATGCTATTATTATCCTCATTTTAAAATTGAGGAAACTGAGACAAACAGAGGTTAAGTGACTTGCCCAGAATCTCACAGCTTGGAAGCTTCTGAGACCAGAATTGAACTCAAGCCTCCCAACTCTATCAGCTGTGGCACCTAGATAAAAATGCTGCTGGTGAGTCTTTCAGTCATCTCTGACTCTTTGTGATGCCTTTTGGGGTTTTCTTGGAAAAGATACTGGAGCGGTTTGCTATTTCTTTTTCCAGCTCATTTTACACATGAGGAACTGAGGCAAACAAGTTTAAGTGACTTGTCCAGGGTCACAGAGCTACTATAATGTCTGAGGCCAGATGTGAACTCGGGAAGATGAGTCTACCTTACTCCAGGCCTGGCACTCTATCCACTGTGTCTCCTAACTGCCCTCAAAACTGAGGCTCAGATAAATTAAATGATTTGTTCACAGTAGGAAGTTACAGAATTAGAACCCAGCTCTTCCTTTTATTACTTTATCCATTATTCCATGTTACTCCATTTAATATTAAATTAAATATCATCAGGGCATGCAGTTCTAGAATACTAAGCCTATTTTCCTCCCTCTTTTGGCCAACAGCCCACAGAAGTGATTTTACTAATGTGAACACAACATTCTGTTTCAATAAGACATACTCTGAAGCGAGGACTTTCATGAGTCCCTTTCAGCTGAGCAGCCAGTTTGCTTGGCAATGATGTACTTTTGGAACAAGACTGAGATACAACTGTGGCTGAGCAAGGTAGCTAGGTGGCATGGTGACTGGAGTGCTAGGCCTGAAGATAAAATGACTCATTCTGATAAGTTTGAGTCTGGCTTTGGACAACTTACTGTGTGATCCTGGGCAAATCATTTAACCCTTTTTGCCTCAGTTTTCTCATCTGTAAAATGAGCAGAAGGAAATGACAAACCACTTCAGGATCTTTGCCAAGAAAACTCCATGCACATTACTGATGTGCTATGGGTCACAGGGTCACAAAGAGTCTGACATGACTGAACAACTATTTTTTCAGCCAATCAACAGGTACCTGTTTCCACTTTTTTGCTACCATGAAAAGCGTATACAATATTTTTATAGGATCTTTCTGCCTTTGACCTCCTTAGTATGTGTGGCCATTTATCTAGCAGGGTAAAGGACACATGGTTTGGGTCATTTTTTTTTCTCACCTAATTCCAAACTTTCCCAGAACTGGTACACTGAAATTACAGCCTTCCCAGCTGTAGTGCAGTATGTCTTCCGACTACTCCCTCCACTTGTAGTGAGGTCCCTCTGTTGCACCACTCAGCCATTGTGAGGCCACACCTCTACTACTATTTGCTACTATTCTGATCTGGAAGGTGAATGCTCTAACTCTGGGTCCTATCCAGTTTGGGTTCACAAGGTCTACATTCTTTTACTCCAAATCAGTGCTTCATAGGATCACAGCTTTAGACATGAATGGGCCCTCAGAGATCCTACAGTTCAACACCCTCATCTTACATATGAGGAACATAAAGCCCACAAGGATTAAATGACTTTTCCAAGTTCACACTAGGAGGAAGTGGTAAAGCCAGATTCAAGCTCAGGGCCTCTAGCTCCAAATTCAACTGTTTTTCCATTGTACTGCTCCATAGTCCAGGCCTCAAAGAGCTGTGGAACTTATCAAAACCACTTGGGAACACCCCAAGTGACAAACCAAAAGAAAATGGCGACATGCAGAGCGATGCATTGACTTTACTTTCAATTTTGCTCCAAAACACTTTTCTAAGTGCCCAGTACACTCATGACGTCATCTCTCTCCCTCATATTAGACGCTTAAAGACTTATTGCTGTCTATTATATTAGATGTTTAAAGTTTAGTTCTTTTTCATCTGTAAAAGAAGGGAATTGGACTAGATGAATTCCAAGGTCCCTTCTGGTGCCTCTCTTTTTCAATAATGTTTATAAGATCCATACGAGCCTTTCCAGTGTCTAAGTTAGAAAAAGATTCTACTGCAGCGAAGGACCTACATGTACAAAAATATTGATAGCAGCTCTGTTTATGGTGGCAAAGAATTGGAAACTGAGGGAATGCCCACCCACTGGGGAATGGCTGAACAAGTTGTGGTATATGAATGTAATGGAACACTATTGTATTGTAAGAAATGATGAGCAGGTAGATTTCAGAAAAACTTGGAAGGACTTATATGAACTGATGCTGAGTGATGAGAGCAGAACCAGGAGAATGTTATACACAGTAATAGCAACATTGTGTGATGATCACCTATGGTGGACTTAGCTCTTCTTAGCAATACAATGATCCAAGACAATTCCAAGAGATTCATGATAGAAAATGCTATCCACATCTATAGAAAAAAACCTATGACGTCTGAATGCAGATCAAAGTATACTATTTTCACTTTTTTTGGGGTGGTTTTGTTCTGTTTTTTTGTTCACAACATGATTAATGTGGAAATATGTTTAACATGATTGCATATGTATAACCTATATCAGACTGCTTGCTGTCTTGGAGAGAGGGGAGGGAGAAAAATTTGGAACTCAAAATCTTACCAAAATGAATGCTGAAAATGATCTTTCCATGTAATTGTAAACAATAAACTACTTACAAAATAAAAAGAGACTCTACTACTTAATAAAGCTATCAAGTGAAAGAGGATGGTTAATAATATAATAATATAATATAATAATAAACAGAAGGTGAGATGTAGAGGTATTGGCAAAATTTCAGAAGTAGTGTGCCAAATCTTTGTCCCCTATGAGAGGCGGTGGTAATTGATCTCCTCAAGCTAGATGTGAAGGTGGGAGCAGTACTGGTGGCGGGGAAGGTACCTGTTGCTAGCAGGTTATACACTTAAATGCTGGAAACCTGTCTCTGCAGTGTGTGAGGCATGGACTTAGCTGGAGACACAACAGGAAAATGCTCAGACAAGGATAGTGATCCTGATAATGGAGTAAATGGATGGGAAGAGGCAGGCTTGGCTCTATGATCCCAGGCCCAGGGCTGACCTTATTAACAACTAAGTAAAACAGGCAACTCCTGCCTAGAAATGTCACCTTGCCATTTAACTGTTATAGCTTAATCCTTCTGGGTCTTGAAGGCTTTCTTGTTTTCAAAAGTTCCCCAAATATCTTAAGTTATGAGTTCCTCCTTAGCAGAAATCAGTTGACAATTGCCTGAAATGGAGAATGGACATAGGATAGATGCCTGGGGAAGCTTATGGGAGTTGCATGAAGAAGGGAGGAGGGAAAAATGACATTGACAGGGGAGGTGGAAAGGACCCACAGCCAAATTGCCTCCTTCAATTTTGCCTCAGGCCATCCCTGATCAGGGCATTTGAAACCATCTAACACAAGCTCTCTCCCTGCTTTGAGCCTTGTACTGCCACTGCTTACACTTGCCACACATTTCTTAGTGTGAAGGGAGTAGATTATTTTGAAAAAAAAAATGTAGTTGGACTGGTGAGAAAGAATTATGTTCATTCATTTTATAAAGGGAAGAGAATCAGCTCTGCCCCTTGGAAGGTACTTTTGTTTGTTTTGTTCTTTAGGGGGAATAAACTGTAATGGGCTTTAATTTAAAATGAGGAGAGATAATGGTTGAAATCAATGACCAAGAGGAAGGAAAGAGGGACAAGGATGCTGCTTAATTATTTTTTAACACGGGAGGGATGAGAGCCACAGTTTGGGAATTTTGCCCAGGTGTTGTTGAATCTATGGCGTACAACGAAGTCCCAGGCACAACACTAACACCATGCCAAAATCCACATGTGGTACCGGTGTTATGAAGTCCTGCCACCCCCTGCCTCTCACCACCAACCCCTATTCAAATGTGGCCACAAGGATGGGAGAAAGTGGTGCTGACAAGTGGTCCCCAAACCCGCCAACACCTGTCTCTTAAAACCTTATTGTAAACTCTTCTCTTCTGGTTCTGGACTGGCTAAGTGTTGAAATGTAATTAAAATGGGAGAAAAAGATAGAGGAGAAACTGGAGTGTGAATGCTTTATTTTTACAATGAGGAAAAGAAGCTGTGAGGTGGGAACTTAATTAAAAAATCATGGAGAGAGATGGGGGGGAGAGGGAGGAAATAATTGAATCTGCGATGAACACTGGAGGAGGGGAGAGGACAGAGGGTCAATCAAGGGGAGATTCTGAGGAAGGCAGCAAAACTGCGATTCACTGTAACAAGGAAAAATGATGGGCAAAAATCAAAAAAGGAAGGCTGTGCAAAAAACTGACATGATCCTAAACCAATTATTGGACCACCAAGAAAGTCAAGAATCCTGTTCCATAATTCATACCTACTTCTAGTGAATGTGTGGCTGCAAAGCCTATTTTTACTCCTTTCACATTGAATCCTCCATTGCTGGCATCAAGAATAACATTCCAAAAACATGTGAGTGAACTAAGATTTACTCTTCCAGAGCTGAATTTTACTTCAAATAAATAAGTGAAGGGGCTGTAAGTCACTCACTGGCTCTCCCCACCCTCCCCACTGGCCTACAAATGCTCCTTGCTTTTTCCCAAGGAGGTTTCAGTGAGGACCGCAGTCAGGTAGAGCTCAATGATTGCAGGAGTCAGGGAGCTGCCAACTTCTGACCAATTTGTTTTAAATTTTTTTTTCTGCTACTGTTGCTGCCCATCTATTATTAATTTGTATTTCTATTTAACTGCAACTCTTACTCTGCCTCTCCTAGTCACTGAGCCATTTGTGAGGAAGAGGAGGGGCAGCAGATAAGACTACTATTGTGAACAGTATGTGACTGGGGTGGAGGCATAATTAATTCTGATTTTTCTCTTTGAAAGTGACAAAAAGTTAATGAAAGCTAGCTACTAAAAACAACTTAAGGACTGGCTAATATAACCTCTCCTCTTAAGGGTTTAGAACAATAGGCACCCATTTGAAAATATACTTAAGGTTAGATGAGACATTCTGTATTGGTCAAGAGTGAATTTTCACTGTCTTGCCAAGTCATTGCGGCTTGGTGCTTAAACCTGATACTATCTTCTATTTCTACGTGGCTGTACAATCCACAGAAGCCAGGGATAGAGAAGGAAGAAAGGTGTCCATACTTACAAATAACCCCTATTATCATTTCCCTTTATTTTTTGATTAGTGGGGGAGTATGAAGAAAAGAATGTTTAAGATAGATGCACAAAAGTCTGGACATTCTAACAGCCAATATATTGTCCCTGGAGCCCATCAGAGAAAATCTGTTTCTTCCTTTTCATTTTTTAAAAGCATGAGTATACTTCAGTCATAATGAAGGTTCTTCAGAACTCCTCCACCAAATCTTTTTCGGTCGGGAAAGCCAGGCATCTGTAGGAAGGAAGATAAAAAATTATGCCTAAAGCAGATGTAACACACTCATGTCCCTAATAACATGTCTGTCTTTCTCTCTTATTTCTCATTTTCTATAGTGAAATGACCCAGTGATATCACTCACACATTTACATTATGGAACTAGTTTATAGGAGAGGTTTTACTGAGAAATTTAAACTGTAAGAATGAGATAAGGTAAAAATGCTGCCAAAGTATAGGCACCAAACAGGTATAGGTAAACTCCTTTAATAATAGAATAACCTAAATTAAGAAAGAAGAAACTTCAGGTGAAGATTGAACATTATTTAATTAATGTATTAGAGTTTAAAATGAATTGTTCCCATTACAAAAGCCTGTTCTTTAATGCCAGGAATAGAAGAAAATAGGACATGTGGTTCCTTGTGGGCCAAGAGGAATCCCTGTCACTTTGTGTTTTTATAATTTCTCTAAAGAGCTTTAGAAATTAAAACTATTCCAAATGTAAGGGAAAAGTTTAATGACACAGGTCTTTTGAGAATCATTATGTTTATTACCATTTAATACCTAAGATCCAGGAAAACATTTCAAGAGCCAATGTATATCATAAAAGATAAAAACCTGGCACCTTCACTCTAGCTATAGGCCTTGCTTTACTGAAAGAAAAAGACAGTCACTGACCTGGTTACCATCTCGAATAAAATATCTCTTCTCTATGACCTGTTGGAAACAGAGAGATGATTTAGCAAATGCAGAATACACATATCTGGAAAATGTGGTTAACTGTGATGGCTACTCAGGGGACTAAAAGGCTTATCCACAATTAAGAGACCTTAATTAATCTATAATTAAGAGACGTCATACAATTTAAAGCAAAGTCTGTTGCCAGTTAGCTTAGTTAGAGCACAGACCTAATCAGGCCAAGGTGGTGAGTTTGATCTCCATTTATACAGTTCGTTATGCTCTTTTTCATGACCACAGACTGAACCCTTAATTAGGATGTTTCATTAACAGTTGTGAGTCTTTATCTTAGTGACAAAGAAGTCCAGGTAAGAGAATATGGATGGATCTGGATAAAGCTATTACTAGTGAAAAAAACAACTGGAAATAACATGTTCTATTACAACATTAGTATTATTTTAATATGTGATAGAGAACATCTGAAAAATAATTAATATTAATCTTTGTCGTTGCAGTGGCTGGAGCCAGGATAAATTCCACTGTAACAAGGGTGCTCGGCTAAGGGACAAATGTGTCTCCATGGGAATGACAACATAAGCAATCATGACACAAAAATCCTTCTGGGAAAATTGAGTTCAAAATCTAAGGGCAGAAATTCTATGCTGTTCCTTAAATGGAACTGTGTGGGTACTGCCTACATGGTGGTAAAGATCATATCCTTTATGATTATGTATGATACTTGTCTGTGTTTCCCCATAAATCCTACTTGTTCTTTTAGTAACTCAAGTGCCACTTGGACCCATCCTTTGGCTGTTTCTCATTCTTGCTATATGACCAGCCCATTTTTTTCCCCCAGTGATATAAGTAGCACTCCTTATGTAACTTATCACGCACTGGCCACTACTTGTAATCTACTACAGTTGGCTTGCCCATCATGCACCTTTTCATTTCCACCTGTCCTTTTAATTCTTCTGAGATAATTCATCAGTGAACAGCATTACCCTGAGAATAACGGTATTCACTGGTTTCACTCATTCAATGGTACTTCAACAGCCTTTCAGTGGTGAACAATTTGAGACCACTGTGCAATTTTCCAAATACAATCCAGGCTGATCACCCACTCCAACTCAATCTTCAGGCCGGATCATTGGCAGCACTTATTCAAGCATGTTTATGCGCTAAGTCAATAGGCTACCTGTCCAACTAGATGTGTTTTTCATCCATTTTTGTCTTTCTAGAGAAGATGAGATAGATTAACTGTGCATTGTTATGGATTTCTCTGAGGCAGTTTTGTAGTGCTCTATCACTGCACAAAGGGACATGTGGAAATTTCACTCAGAATAAAACTTTCTTTCATTTGGACTTTATACAGGACATTTTCCATGACACCAGATGACATGTCTGTTGAACATATATCAATCAGCTTGTTTTAATACCTTCTGCGATATAAGTATTCAGCAGACTGCTGAACAAAGCTACCTCTGTGACCACATCAGTCATAGATTTTTGGATGATTCTGAGGCATATGTGAGAGAAACCTTGCCTGAGAAGAACTATCAAGACTATTCACAGCCAAATACTTTCTAGGAAACAAAATGAGAACTTACGCATTCTCTATAACTTTCAGGCAGTTGTACTGCTATAGTGATGTGATAATCTACAGAAAACCACCTTCTCAATTCTACCTGTTCCTTCCTCATGTATTCAGCAAGGACACCTTTCACACGGGTGTAGTTTGCTCTCAAAGATCTTATGAAGCTGAGAAAGCAAGCAATATGGATCCATAATTACAATGATCTTCTTAGTTGCCTTTTTGTTTAAAATCACTGTTTGTGATCTTTCTTATTCTTTTGCAATCTTCTCTTCTATGAGATATCTTGAGAATTGGTGAAAGGCCTTTAAAATTCTTCTTTTAATATCTTTAGGGTTAAAGTATACCCTAGAATATAATTTTTTTTCTGCACATACTCCATCAAGTCTAGCCATTCTTTCCTGTACATTTTGAAGCACGATTACCAGTTTTCACCTGGCATGCTGGGTACTATGCACTACATCTGTGGCACCACAGAGGTAGTTCCACTATGGGCATCAACGAAAATAAAGAGAAATTCTAGCAGATGTGTTCTACTTTGTATCTGTCTGTTTTCCTCCTTCTGGTTTTGTTTCCAAATGCTCTGGGGACAATCCCCACCTGGGGACATTTCCACCTGAATTGCTTTTTGCTGTCATATGACCATATTGCTCATAATGTACCTAGTGACTTTCTATAGGTGAGATCATCTAAGAATCTAATCTATATGACAATTCTTAAATGCAAGAACAAAAATGCTTGCTAATCTAATACTAAACCCCAAATTTTCTGGGGCTTTAAAAGCCTGGAAGCTCGGGCTCCCCAATCCTCTTTTCTTATGTGCCAGAGAGCACACAGGCTGGAACTAAATCAGAGTCAGGTCACAGGGAATACTTTCTGATCATATGGGGAATGGGAAGGCAGTAGAATATTCCTACTCTGGAAATCTCTCTGCAGAGAGAGAGAGAGAGAGAGAGAGAGAGAGAGAGAGAGAGAGAGAGAGAGAGAGAGTGTGTGTGTGTGTGTGTGTGTGTGTGTTTGTCTCACCTGCAAATGTGATTATATTCACTGACTGACTGGCTGATGTTTTAACCCCATAAATTCTACCTCTTGCTCACCCTCTTCTCCTGATAACTTCCAAATCAAACCACTCAAATCCTAATCTAATCCAATCCAATCACTAGTTATTAGATGTCTATGTGCAAGACACATAAGGTACTGGAGACATAAAAGCAAAGGGGCACCCCAAGAAAAGAAACCTATAGGGAAGGACAGATTCCTATTCCTGACTCTCATACCCAGTGTTCCATCTCTTCTCCCCCCACCCCCCACCCCCCGAACTGCTACCAAATAAGAGTCAACAGTGACTTCTACCCCAGGCTTTATTGGGCCTGCCTCCTTGAGCAGGTGGGGGTAGGGAAGAGGGTCCTATGGTGAGAAAGAGTAAAAATGAATTCAAGGAACATTTAGTAAGTACATACTAAGAGCTAGGTGCTCGTGATATGAATATGAAAAAATGACAGTGCCTGCACTCTCAGAGTTTATAATCTAACAGGGAGATAAGACATGCAAACAACTACATATGAGACCGGGGCAAAGAAGAGAGCCAGACAAACTGTCCCAATATCGTTTGAGGAAGGAGAACCTCTTTCACTGGTGAGGACAAGAGAGAGAAGTCCTGGTAAAAGAAATGTATCAAGGCTGAACTTTGAAAGAAGATGCCAATTCTGGAAAGTAAGGATGAAGAAAGAATTCATCCTGCTCTCCAGCTTCTCTTAATGTGCAGCATCAACAGTGGGCACACAGCACTCACTTGAGCAGCATTGCAGAGATGTGACTTTGCCAAGGCAAAGACAAACGGTGCCCTAATTTACGAGCATGCTGAGTCATCCTCCATTTTCATTCCATTTCAACACTCCAAGAATAGGTCAATAACTGGAATTCAAAAGTCTTTGAAAGGGAATTATCAGGATGTCAACTTCATGTGTAGCAACTACTTTAGAAATTACACGTGTCTGGGATTAATAAGTACTTAGAATCGGCCTAGCAAATCAAACAATTCTTAGGACTTGTATTAGCATTGGATGAGTACCTTTTTTTTTAAAGGAATGTGTATACAAAGCTCGAAAATAAACCCTATTTTTCAGTCAGAAGCCGGATCGGTTACCCACTGACAAATGACAAAAATGAAAAATGTAAACGCTGGTAGTCGTTGGTTATACTTTGTGGACAAAGTGATGCTGCTGATGGCACAAATACTTCAGCAGGCATTGAGCAATTATACTAACAGATAAGGAAAGAAGCAGCAGATGTTCCCTAGGTTGCTGAGTTCAGCCTGAAGGAATAAAGGGACAATGCAAAACTAGGTCCTTAACTCTCATAATACACAAGCTCCTAGTTATATTAGAAAAGAAAGTGAGAATTTACCTTATCAAAAAATCTGCTCAGCTTGACAGCATTGGAAGATCCTGCGGCAAGGTATCGGGGATTTGTGCAGTCCTAGAAAAGGGAGCACAAAATCTATGATGAGCAGTGATTTACATTTTTCAACAAAAGTTCTTTATTAGTTGTAATGATGATTATAAGGTCCTTCTATAGAGAGATAAAGCATATTATATTTTACAAATAGTTTCTATAGGTGGTCTTCAAATTACAATTAATAACCCAGAAAGCAATGAATTATCAATCAATCATTTCGATGGTCCTCCCTGAGGTAAGTTTATAATGTTATCATTCTTTGAATGAGGATCAATCAATCAATAAGAATTTATTAAATACCTATCATGTGCCAGGACTGTGCATGTTGAAAGCACTAAGCACCTAACTAATTTAAGGCCACACTGGGAATTAGAAATAGAATCACAACTAGATAAGAATTCTTCAATTCCAGTACTCTGCACTAATCCTCTCAGAACATTTACTCAGAACCAATTGTAATGTGAAAGAAATCATTTGAAGCTGTCAGGTCAAATACAACACCAGACACAAGCAAAATTATTTCCTCCAAAGACTCAAGATGGCTTGCTTAGGTCTGATGGTACAAAGGGCAGAGGGCCCCACAGAAGTGTGTTGAAAGAAAAAAGAAGCCTAAACGCAGAAGGGTAAGAATTTACCTCTTGGTGTATTAAATATTTAGTAGTTTATCTATTGTGATACAAATAGGAACTCTATAACTACAACTACAGAATGCTGTTTACAAAAATGAAATGGATGTAGAAATATTAATTACTTATGAGTAGGTTGAGCCAAAATGATGAAAATGACAATACTAGGACTTACTATCTGATAAAAAACACCAGGAAAACTGGACGTTGGTCAGACAGAATTTAGGTTCACCTTATCACTACAAGGCTTATGCTCCAAAGAGATCAACTTCCTAAATGTACAAAAACATTCATAGCAGCTCTTTTTGTAGTGACAAAGAACTGGAAACTAAAGGGGCACCCTTTAACTGGGAAACTGCTTAACAAATTATGGCATGTGAGAAATACTAATCTGTTGTAAGAAATTATGGAGACGGTTTCACGGAAACTTGGGTAGACTTGTGGCAGAGTGAAGTGAACAGAACCAACAGCCCAACTTATTTAACAACAGCATTGTAAAAACGAACAACTTTGAAACACTTCAAGAACTTGATCACTGCAATGACTGACCATGTGATGAAGCATGTTGTCAACTTCTTGACAGAGAAGGCCTGCTTGACTGTGAATATTTCTTACAAGAGCTTTAAAATTTAAAAAAAAAATTTTTTTTGAGTTCTGAATTCTTTCCCTCCCTTTGACGCCTCCCCCACCCACTGAGAAGGCACGAAATGTGATATCGATAATACATGTGAAATCATGCAAAAACATTTCCATATTAGCTACGTTGCAAAAAAAAAAAAAGGCAAGAAAAAGAAAGCAAAAAAAAAAATTAAGCTTCAATATGCTTTCAGACTCCATCAGTTCTTTCTCTGGAGGTATTTTTTCAGAACTGTCTTTCTGGATTGTCCTGGATCACTGTATTGATCAGAGTAGCTAAGTCATTCGCAATTGATCACTGTAATTGCGGTCACTGTGTACAATGTTCTGGTTCTGCTCACTTCACTTTGCATCAGTTCATACAAGTCTTCCCATATTTTTCTGAAACCATCCTGCTCATCAATTCTTTCTTTCTTTTTTTTTTTTTGGTTAGGCAATCAGGGTTAAGTGACTTGCCCAAGGTCACACAGCTAGTAAGTGTCAAGTGTTTGGTCTGAGGTTGGATTTGAACTCAGGTCCTCCTGACTTCAGGGCCAGTGCTCTAGCCACTGCACCACCTAGCTGCCTCCATTTCTCATAGCACAACAGAATTCCATCATAATCATATACCACAACTTGGTCAGCCATTCCCCAACTGATATGGGCAATCTCTCAAATTCCAATTCCTTACCACCACAAAAAGACTTATTATAAATACTTTTGTACATACAGGGCCTTTTCCTTTTATCTCTTTGGGATACAAACCTAGTAGTGGTATTGCTGGGTCAAAGGATATGCATAGTTTTATAGTCCTTTTGGCATAGTTTGAAATTGCTCTTCAGAATGACTGGATGAGTTCACAACTCCACCAACAGTGTATCAGTGTCTCAGTTTTCCCACATCCTCTCCAACATTTGTCATTTTCCTTTTCCACCATATTAGCCAATCTGATAGTTGTGAGGTGGTACCTCACAGTTGTTTTAATTTGCATTTCTCTAATCAATAGTGATTTAGAACATTTTTTTCACATGACTATAGACAGCTCTGATTTCTTTGAAAACTCCCTGTTCGTATCCTTTGACCATTTATCAACTGGGGAATGACTTGTAGTCTTAAAAATTCAACTCAGTTCTCTACATATTTGAGAAATGAGACTTTTATCAGAGAAACCTGTTATAAATTTCCCCCCCAGTTTCTTACTTAGCTACATTGGTTTTGTTTATGTAAAACTTTTAAAATGTAATGTAATCAAAATTATCCATTTTATTTCCTGTGATCTTCTCTCTTGTTAGTCATAAATTCTTTCCTTATCCATAGATCTGACAGGTAAAATTTTCCATGCTCCCCTAATATGTTTATGTCACCCTTTATGTCTAAATGACGTACCCATTTTGACCTTATCTTAGTATACAGTGTGAGATGTTGGTTTTATACCTAGTTTCTGCCAAACTGCTTTCCAGTATTCCAAGCAATTTTTGTTACACAGTGAGTTTTTGTGCTCTTTGGGCTTGTCAAACACTAGATTACTATGGTTATTTACTACTGTGTATTATATACCTAATCTTTCCACTGAGCCAACATTCCATTTCTTAGCTAGTACCAGATTGTTTTGATGATTATTGCTTTGTAATAGTTTGAAATCTGGTAATGCAAGGCCACCTTCTTTCACATTTTTTTTCATCAACTCCCTTGATATTCTTAATCTTTTGTTCTTACAGATGAATTATTTTTTTTCCAACTCTATAAAGCAACTTTTTTGCAGTCTGATTGGTATGACACTGAATAAGTAAGTTAATTTACACAGAATTGTCATTTTTATAATATTGGCTCAGCCAACCCATGAGCAAATAACGTTTCTCCAATTGGTAAGATTTGTTTTTACCTGTGTGAAGTGTTCTGTAATTGTGTTCATATAATTCCTGGGTTTGTCTTAGCAGGTAGACCCTAAGCATTTTATATTTTCTGTACTTACTGTAAATGGAATTTTTCTTTCTCTCTCTTCCTGCTGGACTTTGTTGGCAATATATAAAAATGCTGATGATTTAAGTGGGTTTATTTTATATCCTGCAACTATGCTAAAGTGGTTATTTCAGCTAGTTTTTTTACTTTATTTTCTAGGATTCTCTAAATACACCATCATATTGTTTGCAAAGTGATAGTTTTGTTTCCTCATTGCCTTTTCTAAATTTTTACTTGTCTCACTGCTAGCTAGCATGTCTAGTACAATACTGAATAACAATGGTGATAATAAGCATCCTTGCTTCACCCCTGATTTTACTGGGAAGTTCTAGTTTATCTCCATTACAGATAATGCTTGCCAATGGTTTTAGATAAATACTACTTACCATTTTAGGAAAGCTCCATTTATTTATTTATTTATTATTATTCATTCATTCATTCATTTATTTATTTTTAGTGAGGCAACTGGGGTTAAGAGACTTGCCCAGGGTCACACAGCCAGGAATTACTATGTGTTTGAGGCCGGATTTGAACTCAAGTACTCCTGACTCCAGGGCCGGTGCTCTATTCACTGCACCACCTGGCTGCCTCAGAAAGCTCCATTTATTCCTGTGCTTTTTAGAGTTTTTAATAGGAATGAGTGTTATATTTTGTCAAAAGCATTTTCTGCATCTATTGAGATAATCATGATTTTTTTGTTTTTGTTACTGATATGGTCAATTATACTGACAGTTTTCCTAATATTGTATCAGCCCTGCATTCCTGGTACAAATCTCACCTGGCCATAGTGTATGATCTATGTCATAATCTGCTTGTTAGTATTTCATTCAAAATTTTTGTATCAGCATCCATTAAGGAAATTGGTCTATAGTTTCCTTTTCTGTTTTGGTTCTTCCTGGTTTAGGTATCAGCATTATATTTGTGTCATGAAAGCAATTTCATAAGACTCTTCTTTGCCTATTTTTCCAAATAGTTTATATAGTACTGGAATTAGTTGTTCTTTAAATGTTTGGTAAAATTCACTTGTGAATCTATCTGGTGCTGGGAATTTTTTCTCAGGGAGCTCACTGATAGCTTGTTCAAATTTTTTTTTCTAAAAAAGGGTTATTTAAGTACTCTATTTCCTCTTCTGTTAATCTGGGTTCATCCATTTCACTTAAGAGTGCCAGATTTATAGGCATATAATTGGGCAAAACAGTTCCTAATAATTGCTTTAATTTCATCTTCACTAGCAATGAATTCACCTGTTTCATTTGTGATACTGGCAATTTGGTTTTCTTCTTTCTATTTTAGAAAACAAATTGACCAATGGCTTATCTATTTTATTGTGTTTTTTTTCATAAAATTTGTAGTTTTACTTATATGTTCAATTTTTTTTATTTCAATTTCATTAATCTTTCCTTTGATTTTTTTAGGATTTCCAATTTGGTGTGTTTAGGGATTTTTAATTTGTTTTTTTCTAGTTTCTTTAATTGCATGCTCAAATCCTTGATCTGCTCTTTCCCTATTTTATTGATGTAAACATTTAGAGATATATATTTTTTTCCTAAGTACTGCTTTGGCTGCATTCCATAAATATTAGTATACTGCCTCCCTGCTTTAATTATCTTTAGTGAAGTTACTGTTTCTATGATTTGTTCTCTGACCTACTCATTCCTCAGGATTAATTAGTTTCCAATTAATTTAACTCTGTTTCCTTGGCTCTTTACTGAATGTACTTTTTATTGCATTTGTTTATCTGAAAATGATGCATTTAATAATTTTGTTTTTGCGCATTTGGTTGTGAGGTTTTGTGCATTTCGTTGTGAACATCCCACATAGGGGATGTTTTCTCCAGAGGTCTACTATAGCCAACTTTCTAAAATTCTATTCATGTTCTTAACTTCTTGAATTTATGGTTAGATTTATCTAGTGCTGAGAGGGGAAAGTTAAGGCCTTTTACTAGCATAATTTTACTATTTCCTCCTGTAACTCATTTAACTTCTCCTTTAAAAATATAGATAGATGCTATATCATTTGGTACATATGTTTAGTACTGACATTACTTCTTTGTCTATAATACCTTTTAGCAAAATGTAGTTTTCATGCTTATCTCTTTTAATTTAGTCTATTTTTCTTTCCACAGTTTGGCTGCAGTGAGTAGTGAGCAGGGCTTCAACAGGACCTTTCCACCGTGGCTCCAAGGACTGTTTTTGGTGATGACCTTTCCAGTAGACCCAGTCACTGGATTGGATTTCTCAGTGCATCTCTTTCTCATCTCTTAATTTTTGAGATCATCCCATCATAGTCAAGTCACACCTGTGTCCCTCTATGCATGTATACTCCTAACTGCCTTAATAATGATAAAGTTCTTAGGAGTGATAAGTATCATCTTCTCACATAGGTATGTAAGCAGTTTATTAATTCCCTCATGATTTCTCTTTTTCATTTACCTGTTTATGCTTCTCTTGAGTCTTATGTTTGAAAGCTCAGCTGAGTTGCTGTTTGGACTCTGCCATCTGGTTCCATCTTTTTTTTAAGGCAATTGGGGTTAAGTGACTTGCCCAGGGTCACACAGCTAGTAAGTGTCATGTGTTTGGTCTGAGGCTGGATTTGAACTCAGGTCTTCCTGACTTCAGGGCCAGCCGTCTATCCACTGCGACACCTAGCTGCCCCACCTTTTTTTTTTTTTAAATAACAGGAGTCGTAGATGGTATCCTGGAGGGTGAAGGTAGAGAAACCAGCACGGAGCACTGAACTTGGGAGTCATAGGATCTGAGCTTGACTTCTAGCTCTGCCGCTCACTCCCTTTGTGACTTAATGTAATTTATTTAATCTCTTTGGGCCTCAATTTCCTCATCTGTAAAATGAGGGAGGTGAACAAGATGACCTTGAGAATCCCTTTCAGTTCAAGAACTATGGTATTATAATTCTATTTTTTGTGTTCTCCCCAGTCCCAGTATCCAGTAGGTCCAGCAAATATATCCTTAACAAGTGAACAAATAAGAAATTCAGAAATAAAAACTTAGATCATGGAGAATACCTGCTGAGGATTTTTCCACGTATTAGAAACATGTTTCTGAATCTTTAAGCAAATGCCAGAGATTGATGTTATTGCTAACAACAAATAAACAAACAGCTACTGATACAAATAATATAGTAGATTAGAATGTTGTTTAACCCAAAATTAAAGAAGAAAAAAAAAGACCTAGTGTGAATGATAGGCGGAGAAGGTTGGGCTTTTGGAATAAAAAAAGTGAATAGCAGTAGCAAGGCCTTAAAAGGCCTATCGTCCACTGATGGAAGACTAACAGCTATTTGACCTTCAACAGGGAGCAAGTAGGCTATAGAGCTGTGTCCCTGAAAGGGAACCTTTGTTTCCTACTTTAAGATGCCTTCTAAATCTTGGTGAAGCCTACATTATCATCACAATGAGGGTGATAGAATTTTCAAGCCATACAAGTTTTAGAATCTATCAAAGGGGTGAGATTTATATAGCTCTGGACCTTCTACAAATGACCTCTTTGAAATGAATAAAATTGTTTTTTTCTAAGTAATAATTGCTTTATTCTGATCTTCTGACCTTAAAGCCCATTTGATGCTTTCTCAAAGAATGCACATCTGTAACTACCTATTTTACCCATTGAACAAAATTCACTTGGCTATATCCTTATGCTTTTGGTCAGAAGTTGATGCCAAACTTGCAGAATAGTAATAGTAAAAGAATACAGTGTGGTCTTCAAAATAAAATACAAGAAAGAATAAGGTTTTTTTTGGTATAAAACCACATAAAGTATTCAAAAATGAATTTTAAAAGAATCACTCTGACAATTACTTTCTGTGGCTAAAATAATTTTTGTTTGGAATGTCAAAGTTCCTAGTTCAAAAAGAGACTCTGCAAATCTAAAATCTTATGTTTCAGACACTTAATAAGCTTCGTGAAAAACTCATTTTGAAATATGTCCAAGTCAGAATCATAACCCTAAGAACCTTCTAGAATAGTTCTAAATGTATATATGCATGCTTTCTAGTCAAGAATGTGATACAGCAGGGTTTTGCAAATGGACAGCTGTTAACACTTTTCTAAGTTTGAAAAAGGCAAGATTAGCCAGGTATGGCATCCAAACCAGATCCTATTTGATAAGAGTATTAAATCTTATTTTGATGCCTCATTGTGGTACTCTTGAGAGTTATGCCAGGAGGTTATAAGCTGTGGCAGATACTTCAGCTGAGTGAGGCTTGGAGGCTGGACCTTAAAATATGCTATTTTTGTTGCCCCAAGAACAGGCCAGATCAATGGATAACATTAGATATGTCTGTTGTGATCAGCCTGATTAAGTTTGAGAAAGTTCATCACAGAGGGTTAGTTACCATGTAATGAATTTTTTGGCGACAGTAACTGATTAAGCTATGTCTTAAGGCAGGGAGGACTGAGTGCTCACATAGATGAAATCACAAATCTATGATTACTGAAAGAAGGACATCCAAGCGCTTTGACTGGTCTTTTTCATTGCTTACAATATACAGGTAAGCTTTAAATAATATCTTCTGTTTAAACTACATAATTGCATTGTCAGGCTCTTTTTTTTTTGCCAGGTTTAAGAAGATTTATCATTTAATAGACTGGTGATCAACAAAATTATAATGGCATTCAAATGCTTAGATTTTCTCTTTTTGGCAACCGAACTTGCTTATTCGAACCTAAATTTCTGTGACTTTCCTTTCTAATTGTATTATTTTCTTGGTGCTAACTTCCCTCACTTTCATTTCCTTGGTGCTCAATGCCCTTTCCTATTTTTTGTTACTAGTTAGCTTCAGAGGCTGGCCACTGTCAAAAGTCCAAAGTGCTTTACTGAGTCAGTGAGCTCTTTGCAGGCACTCAAACTCTGATCAGATGAGTATGTTTTCCAGATCCTAAAAACATGTAAAACTGGCCCCATCCTTGTTAGAGAATAACGAATGACTTATTCTAGACTAATCAAGGCACTACAGGCACTGTTAACACAAAGACATTTTGATTGAAATCAAAAGGAACCACAAAAGGAATAAAACAAATTTGTATTGCAATTTAGTCCATTTTTCTTCTGGGCAGTGTTTAAAAATGAGTAGTAATCTTGGAACTGCTAGTACCAGGACCTGATGTACTCTACACAGGAGCTGCCATCTAATATTTCAAAGTCCAGTGCTGATTCTTCAGGCATTTATATCAAATCCTCCATGATGACAAATGAAGGAGACAAGAAGGCTAAGAGTGAGCTTTTGCTTGAGGCACTGCTATTCCTAAAGTGAAGAGCTCACACTCCACTGCAAAACAGAACAATTCAAGAGAATGGGCTATGGGGAAGGTGAACCAGTGCAGAGACTTGACAAAGGGTAGAAACTACTCATCCACCAGTAGTGAGGTGTGAACTGGAGGTAAATGATTTGCAAAGAGCCACTATTACTATTTCTATCCATCCCCCCATACAATGCATCTGCAACAGAAATGCCGGCCAAGGTTAAAGAGTAGCCTATGCATATTCTTCCCCATTTGACAGTGCTTGGCCTACAAGGGAACAGTAACATGTGCTATTGTTAGCAGTAAGCCCTAACTGTGCTAACTGGCTCAGAATGGGGCTCAGTAATCCGCAGTATATTACCACATGGGAAAAACTAATAACTTTCAGCTTGTCTGGTAATCCCACTCTGTGATATTCGGTCTTCAAAGCTTATGTAAGCATTCCAATGTTTACAGAGGAGTTTAAATGATTAGGACAGATTCATTTCCTTGATATGCCTGGCTGCCCTTCACCATGGATTTTAAAGCTAAGGTGACTAATTGACTCACTCAAGGCAGGAGCCACTGAGGCATAGAATTAGTGATACTGTCCATATCATTCATGATATGGACATGAATCACCCCCTACTCTAAGCACCTTAATCATTTTTCCTTTGTTTTTCTCTTCATTATAGTAAGCCCATCATTTTCATCATGCACAAGTGAATTATCACAGTGGACAGTGTCGGAATCCTTGCTATAGGTCACTTTATATCAGGTTAATTTGATAGAACCAATGCTTCTTAAGTGCCCACTACACACAATGTACTTGCCAGGTGCCAGAAAACAGGGTTAACTGCCTAATACACTGACACAAAGAGAATGAACTTACTCGTGTAAATGACATAGACTTGTAAGTGATCAAAGAGTCAAAACACACAGGCTGTTGAGGAAAGAACAATAGCCAGGAAGCTACTGACTAAATCCAGGGGATAGCCATGTCTCTACCAGTAACTGAGGTGTGTGACACTGGGCATGTTAATTCCCTTTCCTGGGCCTCAATGGATTAGAGGTGGATTAGACAATAATTTAAAGTTCAATGAATACTATCTGCATGATATAGATGGGAAAAGTTAGAAACTAATAAGAAACTTCAAAGGATAGAAGATGCTATTAGGGAAATGTATGACAGAAGAAAAGATGGACTGGCCAAGACACAAAGGGAAGGGAAGACAGGAAGACAACCAGAGTACTCCACTGGTGTCCTTCCAATGTTAGGAGAAATCAAGGAAGTCCTCTAGTGCATTGGGTAGATCCTCTGTGATGAACTTGGGGGGGACATATATAAAAATTGGACAGAATGATCAGGCAGAGACACACTGTGATCTGTATCAGAGAGAATCCAGACTGACATGATCACTGACCCATCTGAGGACTTTTAAGTACCCATTATATTAAATGATTTATAATATCTCAAGGTCCCTTAACCTACCGAGGATAGGCTTTTCCGATAACACAAACATCGGCTGGTGAAATACCAGGGCATCTTGGTGGTGCAGTGGGTAGAGGTCAGAAGACCTCAGTTCAAATCCAGACTCAGACACTTACTAGCTGTATGACCCTGGTCAAATCACTTAAGCTCTGTTGGCCTCAGCTTTCTGATCTGTAAACTGGACATAATAATAACATCTACCTCCCAGGGATGTTGTGAGGATCAAATGAAATAATAACGCAAAAACCCTTAGCACAGTGCTTGGCACATAGGAAGCACTATATAAATGTTAGCTATTATTATTGTTACCTACCAAATTAATCTCTTCTGCATTGAAATCTTCAGCCAAGAAAGCAATTCTAGTTAGAACTTCATTGCGCTTAGCTTCATGAATCTGGTCCAGTTTGGTTCCTATTACCAACAGGGGGATTTGGTTATCAGCAAATTGTTCTCGGTCATAATCCCTGTTACAAATAATAATGAAAAAGTGAAAATGATAGATTTTTAATAGAAAAATTCTGTGTTTATTTTAGTAACAACACACACATCATTTACCTACCAATCGGCTCTTGCCACTGTTTCATCTATGTGTTCATTAAAAAAAAAATTTTCAACTTCCATCAATGAGTACAAATATTTAAATGCATAAAAAATAAAAATGAAGACCAACAAAATAAGTCACATACATGTTGTAAATGTAACTGTAAACTTTTATTTGTAGAATATAAGTAAAAAACATAAGATTGTATACTTAATTTTAATGAGGCAGTTATGAAGTCATCTTCTTTCCGTGACCATTTTTTTCCCCTTTTATGCGTGTATTTGACCAGGTTTTGATGCCATTGTGTTGTCTGCTTCTATATATCCATCCACTGATACTTTCCACCATTTATCAAGTCCCACTTCTTTATCCATTAATTTTTGAGCTATAACTACAAGTTTCTCGAGTTACTACTTTAACAAGTGAGGGCCTAATAGGGATAGGAAGTATCTTTACGTACACATTAATAACCATCTACTTCAGTGATTTTCAAAAATCTCTTTTAGTGGAAGGACTCTTCACTTCAAATAAAACAGGGATAGCTGTCACAACAAAATCCTTTAAAAATATCTTTTAAACCCTACCACTAATATTACCAAATAACATAGGGATGTTTAAAATTTTTTTCAAATAAATTTAATTCTCAATCTAAATAAATCTAATAATATCACAAAATAACTCAATTTAATGCAATTCAACTCAACAAGCACTTTTGAAGCACCTACTAAATGCCAGGCACTGTTAGACACTGTATTATAAAGACTGAGAATCAAACAGCATCTGCCACCAGGTAGTTTATTTTTCACTAAGAAGAAACAAGATGACTACAAAAAAGAAAATACAAGATACATACAAAATAAAGACAATGAAATTTAATAGGGGGAGAGAATTAACAATTAGCGAGTCAAGAAAGGCGGCATCTAGACTGTGTCTTAAAGGAAGCTCAGGATTCTAAGCAGTGGTGGTGAGGCAGAAGAGTACTAGAGGCACTAACAGCAGTCTATGCAAAAGCATGAGTTGGAGCTGGGATATTATGTGCAGTGAATAACAATAAGTCAGTCTGTTGGAATGTACAGTGCATAGGAGAGAGATGTGAAATCAGTCAGACTGCAAATGGCTTTAAATGCCAAACATCACTCTTTATATTTAAGGCACTAGGGAGCCACTGAAGGGCCTTGAAGGGGAGAGACACGGTCAGACCTGTGCTTTAGGGATAGCAACTTGGCAGATGTATAGAAGATAGACTGGAATAGAGAGACTTGAGGTAGGAGGATCAATTAGGAGAATATGGCAATAGTTCAGATAAGAGGTGATGAGGGCCTGAAGTAGAGTGGTGGCTATGGAAGTGGAGAAGAATTTCAGGGAGGTGGTGAGCCTAGAAAGTCAGGCTGCAAGGGACTGAGAGATGAGTCAGAGCTGAGGAAATGGAGGCAGTAAGTGTAACCAGCCCTCTCTAAAAGTTTGGTTATAAAAGAGAGAGAGAGAGAGAGAGAGAGAGAGAGAGAGAGAGAGAGAGAGAGAGAGAGAGATCAATGGTATCCTAAGAGTCAAGTAGAAGTTTTTTTCCCCCTTGATAATTAATTTATTTATTTTTAGTTTTCAACATTCACTTCCATAAGATTTTGAGTTTTAAATTTTCTCCCCCTCCCACTCCTCGCTCAGTCCCAAGACAGACTGCAATCTGATATAGGCTCTACTTATACCTTCATATTAAGCATATTTTTCCCATTAGTCATGATGTAAAGAACAATTAGAACTAATGACAGGAACCATGAGAAAGAAACAATAAAACAAAGGAAAAGGAGAGTAACTAGTATGCTTCCATCTGCATTCACACTCCATGTTTCTTTCCCTGGATGTGGATAGCAATTTCCATAGTGAGTCTTTTGGAGTTGTCTTAGATTCTTGCATTGCTGTGAAGAGCTCAAGTGGAAGTTTTTTTAAGGGTGGAAGGGACTCTGGCATTTTTTAAGTCAATGGTGAAGGGAGTTAGTGGGTAAGGAGAGAGAAACTGATTTAAGGGACAAGCTCCTGGAAGAGACAGGTAAGGGTCCAAAAAGTGGAAGAGCTAGTGTGGTTGAGGAGAAAGACTAGAGCAAAAGTGTGGAATAGTGGAGAAGAGAAAACTTAGCATGGATGGTCTCTAAGATTTTTCCAGTATAGCAGGCCAATGCCGTGTGTGTGTGTGTGTATGTGTGTGTATCTCTGCTGAAAGGAGGTATAAGTATAGGAAGGTTGAAGTGAAGGTATGCAGTAGGGGGTGTAACAGTCAATCATAGAAGAATAAAGTACAGCACTGACCTGAGCTGAGGTTAGATAACAAATCGGTAGTGAGGCTAGTGGGCAAGGTCACAGGACTTTTACTATGCTAGTGCTTCTTTGAGATGCTCTCAAATAAAGTGGGAAAAGGAGAATTAAGAAATTAGAGAATTTAGAATTAATGAAGAGCATGTCCTTGTTTGCCACTGCCAAGTTAGAAATTTGGCTAGAAAGGGACTGACTTCAACCTAAGGCAAACAAATTGAATGATGACTGTCTGTTGAGAACACTATGGAAGTGTTCAGCACATCTCTCTAGGATCAAGTCCTTATCACTAATCAATGTGGCTCCACCAGCACCGAATATTTTAGATGCACCATAAATAGCCTAGAGGGTATCATAAAAGTGTTCTGGATTGTTACTATCAGAGTAAAGCTGAATTTCATCTGCATTCTTACTGAGTCAAGAATCCTGCATCTCTTTAAGCTTCACTTGTACTTTACTTTTGATGGAGTTAAATGTCACCTCTTAGAGGTGGATGAACTATCTTGCTGATAAACCGTATGGGGTGTTTTGAAGGCTCCGAAGGAAAGCATGGGAGAGAAGAGGTATTAGGCTGCGTACCAAACTGAAGGTCTACAGAACTGCTGTGCTGACCTCATTGTTGTACACCTGTGAAACCTGGATAAGTCTACCAGCTCCACATCAGGAAACTGAATAGCTTTCATTTGACTTGTCTTAGGAAGATTCTGAAGATCACCTGGCAGGATAAGGTACCAGACACTGAGGTCCTTTCTCAAGCTAACTGCCAAGCATTCAAAGTCTACTGCAGAGAATGCAACTCTGATGGGCTGGCCACGTTGTTTGAATGCCTAAAAGACTATTTTATGGAGAACTCATACAAGGAAGATGCTTAGAAGGTGGTCAAAAGAAGTGATACAAGGAAACTCTCAAGGTCTCCCTGGAGAATTGGAATTGACTGTGTGACATGGCAGATGCTGGCAAAGGACCACCCAGCACGGCGTGCCCTCATTAAAGAAGTGCTGTGCTCTAAGAGCAAAGAAGAACTGCAGTAGCTCAAAAGAAATACAATATGTGCGAATTTAGAAACATCTCCATCCCAATGTTTGCATGGATTATTTGTGCCCAACCTGTGGTAGAACCTTCTGAGCTTGTATTGGTCTGATCAGCCACAGTCAGACACACTGTAACTTAACCCCAACATGGTGGTGTCCTTTTGGTCCTCGAGAATGAAGAACAACCACCAGCCAACTGCCAAGTGTTTTTTATCATTGGAAATAATTTGTGTGCTATACAGCCTGGCTCTAGCAGATTGTCCACAATTACATTACCATTTCAAGAGTTTAAATTGTAAATTTTCATCATTTTGTTTGTAAATGCCTTCATACTTTTTAAAGATTCATGAGATGATTTTATGATATTAGTAACATAATACACAGTGCACACCAAGATCATTCAAAGTAAATACACTGGAGATCACTATTATCTTAGCTTCTAGAATTTAGCATGTGAACTAGTTTTATAAATGTTTTGTTTCACCATCAGCATCTTGATTATGAACACTTGTGCATTTCTGCCTCTTTAAACTTCCTGATTTTATCTAGTCGTCTAGAATCAAAGTTGGAACAAAAAACCACCACCTTACTATTTTGCCACCCTCCCCCAACCGCCATGATTTTGCCAGGCTGCCCATATACATTCAAGTGATTATGTAGTGCATTCAATGATATAAATTAGTTCAATAAGCAGCCAACTTTTTGGCTACATGATTTAAAACAAACGTATCTGTAGAACCTCACAGACCAATGAGTAAAACAAAACTTGAGAAATACAGATTACTAGACTTTTGTGGGCCCAAGAGATGACTTAGAGTCAAAGTGCTCAAATCAGTGAAAACAGGATGATTGACAAGCATCTTATCGTTTGCTTACTGTTAGGCAGCTGGGTGATGTAGTAGATACAGTCCCCTGGGCCTGGAATCAGGAAGACCTGAGTTCAAATCCAGCCTCAGATACTAACTGTATGCTGAATTAATCTTTATTTGCCTCCATTCCCTCATCTGTAAAATGGGGATAATAATAGCACCTACCTCTCAAAGCCGTTGTAAGGATCAAATGAGATAATATTTTCAAAATGCTTACATAGTGCCTGGCACATGCTTAGTACTATATAACTGATGATAATAATAACAATTATTATTAATTATTATTATTCTTGAATGCTGACTCAGAAGAAGATTTCACCCAGGAATTATGCCCAGAATTTGGGTTTTGGAGTATTTTCTCAGTTACTTGGAGACATCCTAATATTTGAAAGTATAAGCTAAAGGGTTTTGAAGTATAGCACCAAGATGGGAAATTCACATTATGCTTCCAAGACTACCCAAGAACCTATTATGGCTACTCTACCTCTGTGCCATAGAAGACAGTGACAAGCTACCAGGGATTCATTTGGGAATGCACAACGGACAGATGATAAGAGAGAGGATGTGTCTCCACATCATTATTTCTGCATGCCTATTAAAAATGGAGATTATACTAAGAAAACAACTAGACACAGAAAGGACAAAGAATAGAAAATCAAATATAGATGACCTGTGTCTGATTACATGGTTGGGTAAGGAGAAAAAAATAGATTTCCCAAATGAGGAGGAAAAAAGGAGTGCAATATAACTGGATTGGAGCCAAAATGCCAGGGTTCGAACGCCAGCTCTGCCACTTACTTGTTTTGTAGCTCTGGAAAAGCCACTAAGCTTCTCTGGGTCTCAGTTTCAGTTTCCTCATTTATATAACGGAGGGAGATAGAACAGATTATTTCTAAGATCCCTTCTAGTTCTAAATCTATGATCTTATAAAACTGGAACACATTGAATACAAAAAGGGGGTAATTTGTAACTAGAAAAAAAACTGGTATTGACATCCAAGCCCCCCCAAAATAATCAGAAAACATCAGTGTCCTTGGGTCTGCAAAAGGGTTATTTACTGAATTCATCCAAAGGCAAAAGAATGATATAAATGTTGTTTTATTTTGTTGGAAAGGAAGATGGAGCACCACATTATCTAAGTTCTTTCTATGTATGAAAGATAAGCCAGGTGTGGATTTGAAAAAATATGTTACAAGCAAAAACTAAGTCAGCAGAAATGGAGTTTCAATACAACTCAGGCTGGCTTGTGTCAGTAAATCAATCAACCAGTCAATAAAGCTAAATTGAGTACAGTTTCCCCTTTTCTTCAGTCTTCCTTCGTTCCTTCGTTCCTTCCTTCCTTCCTTCCTTCCTTCCTTCCTTCCTTCTTTCCTTCCTCCCTCCCTCCCTCCCTTTTTTTAAAATATCTGAATCAGGGGTAACCAAACTTACTGAAACATTATACCAAACAATAATTTTCAGAAATCTGAAAGCCTCATGACTGGCCAGCCTTTACATATCAATGAGTTCTACTGTTTGTAATCTACCTTCTAAAAACATTAAGATCCTTCTCATCACACCATAGCTAATTACTGCTAGAGATCTTTTACTCTTACTTCCAACATAAGCACTGATTTGAGAGACAAGGTGTGAAACTGTGATTTGCCTTATTAATCACTGAAGTGTTGCGTTTGTCCTCAATGTCTCCCTTTTCCTTTCTAGTCCATGACACATATTTCCCCCATATCACATACACATTCTTCTTATTTACTCTCTACCAAAAATTCCATCCATGACAAATCATCTCCGATAAGCCCATCTCCCTCTTATACTTTCACTGACATCTCCTGGACACTGACAACTAAGTAGGAATGCACTCACAGTGACTCAGCTACATTCCTTGACACCTGAAAAATTCCTATTAATCCTTTTGACAAAAATATTATCTTCTTCAAGAAGTCTTTCAAGTGATGCTCTTCCTTGCCCCCTTTTCCCTACCTCATGTTTCACTTTTTCAAAATATATCTTATTGATGTTATTTCTCACCCCATCAGTCATCTCTGGGAAAAAGACATCCCCCTCCCAAAAAACCCTTTCCTGGACTAGACTGAACCCCACCTTTTGACAAAGAAAAACATTTTATACAGTGACTATATATGACTATGTACACAATGTTCTATCCCAGTAGTCCCTCAGCTGAGAAGGTATGTTTCATTATTTGTTTTCTGGATCCTTTGTCATTTTTTTTCAATTGTTCAGAATTCAACTTCTTTTTAGTGATTTTTTAAATTTACAATATTGTAATCAACGTGTACGCATATGGATCTTTCAGTTCTGCATATTTCCTTCTCCCAGACAATTCTCTCACAAAACTCTCCTTGTTTCTCTGAATCCTTCATATCTGTCATTTGTTTTAACTGTAGAAGAATATTCCATTACGTTCATATAACAGATTTTTATCCATTCCCCAATCAATGAGCACCCACTTTGTTTCCACTACTTTGTTACCACAAATAATCTGGCTATGCATAGATTAGATTTTGGTGTCTTTGACTTCCTTGTTGCGTAAGCCCAGTCGTGAGATAATTTTTCCAAATGAATTTTGTTTTTATCATATTAGATTCTATTAAGAATTCCTTTCATAATTTGATTGGTAAACACTAAGACTAAATTTACCTTAGTGGTATGGTCATTTTTACTATATTGGCACAGTCCTGCTGTAAGTACTGAATGTTCCTTCAGCTGCTTAAGTTGTTTATTATTTCTTTAAGGAGCACTTTGTAACTGAATCCACACAGGTACTTTGTCTGCTCTGTTAAAGTGATCCCCAGGTACTTTATACATTTTGTAGCTACTTAAAATGGAATTTCCTTTTCTATTACTGCCTCTTAGATTCTGTTATCATTATATAAAAAAGCTGTCGATTTTTGAGGGCTTATTTTGTAGTCTGCAATGCTGATGGGGTTTTTAACTGTCTCAGTCTCTGATTCCCAAGATATTCTAAGTAAACCATGGTATCATCAACAAATTAAGATAGTTTCATCTCTTCTTTTATATGAACTATTTTATAAAGTTTTTAGCATAAAGGAGCATAACACTTTGGCAAAGTCTTTTTCCACATCTACTGAGATAATCATGTGGTTTTGGATGTTTGTTTTAATGGGATTAATTACGTAGATTATTTTCCTAGTGTTGAGTCATCCCTGGTATAAATCCAATTCAGTCATCATGAAAGGTTTTTTAAATGATTCATAGTAAACTCTATGACCAGATTCTGTTTAATTTTTCTGAATCAATATTCATTGGTGACATTTATCTATAGTTCTCTTGCGTATTCTTCTTCTCAGGTTTAGATATTAGGACTCTATTTTTCTCATAAAAGCAATTCTATACAGTGCTTTCTTTCTCATTTTTGAGAAATAACTTGTGTAGTATAGTTACTAATTGCTCATTAAAAGTTTGATAGAATTCTGCTGTGATTCCACCAGGCCCAGGAATTTTTCCTTCAGCAGTTCCTTTATAGCCAGCTCTTATTTCTTTTCCTCAGAGAGTATTTAGTCTTCTGTTAGACTTTGTATTTTACATTTTGAAGAAATTCCATAATTTGTGTTTTCAGTTTTATTGCCATATAACTGCGCATACTATGTTCTGATTATTCTTTTCATTTTTTCTGGTTTCACTGTGGTTTCACCTTGCTCATTTGCTATTCTGTTGATTTACTTTTCTGGTCTCTATTTAATCAAATTGGCTTAAGTTTCACCAATTTCAGTTTTATCATTTCAAAAGGTGGGTTTTTTTTGTTTCTAGTTCTTCTATTTCTCTTCTAATTTTTAAAATATCCTCTTATGATTATTTTAAATTTATTTGTTGCCTTTCTAATTTTTAAATGCATATTCAATTCATTAATCTCCTTTTTCTATTTTGTTAATATATTTTTATAGGGATATGATTTCTTCCCCGAGGATTGCTTAAGCGGCATCTCAGAAATTTTGGTATGTTGTTACATCATTATAACTTTTTTCCACATAATTACTGTTTCTATGCTTTGTTCTTTGATCCACTCACCATTTGGGATTTCATTAAGTCTCCATTTGGGTGTCTGTCTTTTCTTTGTGGTCTGTAAAGGATGTTTGCTATTTCTGCCTTTTCACATTTTATTTGTATTATTTCTGTGTCCTAACACATGGTCAATTTTTGTAAAAGCTCCATGTGGTGCTAAGGATTATGTGTATTCTTTAGCAGAACCACTTAGAAGACACCATTGGTCTTTTAGCTCTTATTTCTCTGGAAAATTTGTTCAATTTTATATTGTCTCATCAGTTTATTCTTTTTTAGATGCATCCAAAACTGAGTGCAAGACACTGAAGCCTCCAGCCACTACTGTATCACTATCTATGTCTTCTTGTAGTTCAGGTAATTTCCTTTTGTGAATTTAGTTAATTGGAGCACGTGTTAAATGCTGATATTGATTTGTTGACTACAGTTCCTTCCAGTATAATGTAGTTTCTTTATTTATCCCTTTTAAAGTTGTGAATATTTGTTTTGACCTTGTCTGATAGAATAAGTACAACTTACGCTTTTTTGGATTCATCTGATGCACAGTAAATTTTTTTCATCCTTTTATTTTTTTGTGTATTTCTGTTTTTAAAATGCGTTACATTTTTTAAAAAATTAATTTATTTTGATTTATCAACAATCACTTCCATAAGCTTTTGAGCTTAAAATTTTTCTCCCCCTCCTTCCCTTCCTCCCTCCCCAAGATGGCTCCTGATCTGATACAGTTAAAATACGTTTCTTGTAAGAAAACAACAGATTGTGGGGCTTTGTTTCCTTATCTAAACTATCACTTTTTCATTTTATCAGATTTTTAAAATCTGTCATTTAAGATTATGAGATTTAGGTTGATATTTCCCTCTATTTGTGGGTTTTTTTTCCCAAAATTAGGATTTTTTTTTCTCCTCTTCCTTTGTAAATAAAACACTACGTCTCTTTAGGCATTTCAGCTTAATCTACTTTAAGGCAACTCTATTCCACCTTTACCCCTCCCTGCTCCCTTTTGTTAGCTTTCCCCCCCTTTTGGAGTTTTGCTTGACTTATTGGTTCCTTTTTTCTTTCTTCCCTTTATCTAGTTATTAAATTCTTCACTCTTTTTCTCCTTCAGGTAAGTAGTCAAGTAAAATTCCCTTTCCTTTCCATCAACTTGTTTTGTTATTTAATTTTTAAAATTTCATTTTCTGAGCCTTTTTCTTAAAAAAGCATTTCTTTCCCTTGTTTTCTTTATTATTAATCTTCCCTGTCTCTTCCAGACTTTTATTCTTTGATTCATGGGCCTTATACTTATTTAGTCATTCTTTAATCTCTGTACTCCCATGGAGTTAGTTTCAAAAGTATGTATTTCTGACTTCTTCTCTTAAAGATTTTCCATGTTATGGTCTTGTAGATTTTTTTCCCTAGTATACTTTTAGAAAAAACAAAACAAAACAATTCATACAGGTAGCAGAAAAGATATTGCCCAATGGTAGGAATATTCCTATATTACAGAGTGTGCAGTTAATTATCAACCTTTGCTCTCCATGGCAATTTCCTTCCCCTTGCCATTTGCCATGAACTTTCTGTAGGTACACACCCTCCCACTCCAGTGGGGATTGCTTCCAGAGCTCTGATTCTCCTTGTCCTGAGGCAGGCTGAGTGCTCTCTCTAAGCACCAAATCCCTGGATATCATACCCATGTGCCTGGAGTACATCCAAAGGTCCCACCATTGGTCGTTTAACTCTTATTTACAGAATACAGAGTATTTTTCAATGAGATCTTCTTTTGCCACTGAAACAAAATTTCCCCTTTTTTTTTGATCTCCCATTTTGCTTCCTCGCTCATTCTCCTCTAGGCTGTCTTCTTCCTGAGAGATGACAGGAGTTGTTTTCTCTTGACTAATAACCTTTACCTAGATTAGGTTTCATCACACTTCCTTCTATCTTCTTCCTCCCTCCTCCCCTTTTACGCACCCTTGCATTCTGTAATTCAGTCCCACAAAAAAACAAACCAACCGCTGATTGGTAGGCAGGGTAGTGATTAATCCATGACATTTCAGGTCTGTGTGTCTACCATCACTTCTGTTTGCTTTCACTGTTATCTCCTTGTGTACTTTTAGAATGAAATCTCATAATGGTTTTTCTGTTGTTGTGCTTGGTTGTGGTATTTGTTTACCTGTCTGGCATATCTGTCATCAAAGCAAATAATGTGGTCAGTTCTGGTTAATTTCTAGGAAGGCTCTAAATACCTCCTTGTTACTGAACAACCATCTCTTTTCGTTATTTGTTATGCTTGGGTTTGCAGGGTACATCATGTCGGGTTGCATCTTGAGATCTTTTGCTCTCTGGAACAAACTGCTTCTTGCAGTTTATGGTGCATGCAAAATAGTCTTGTTATTCAAATTTCCTTTCTTTTATATTTAAAGGCATTTCTCCTGGTTGCTTGCAGAATTTGTTATTGGAATTATTAAATTTCAACACTACCTGTCTTGGAGTTTGAAGCATGGGTTTGGTTTTTTTTTTTTGGTCATCTGCTGATTCTTTTGATTAGTGCTTTCCCCCTCTGTGTAGAAGTTCTAGGCAGTTTTCTTGTAATGTTCAGATTTTTTGACTTGTCACGTTATTTGTAATCCTTAAGATGTATACATTTCCTGTTTTGCTTGTATAGAGAGCGTGTTTTTGTTTAACATTATTGGTTTTTACTCTTTTACTCTTCTAGGTCCTCCTTCATTTCTATGTATTTGCATTCCTGTTAAGTTATTCTTTCTTTTGTTTTTGGTGAGACTTGCCACCTTGGATTCAAATTCTTCTACTCTGCCAATTATTTCTGCTATGCAAGTCATAAATTCTGCTTTTACAGTTCCTATTTCTCTTTTAAACCATTCAGGAACTGCTGCTATGGTTCCACACTCTCTTGAGAATCCATGAGTTCTTCTGTATCATCAGGAATTGATTCATTTTCTTTTGTCTTACAATATTTAGTCACAGATTTCTGGACTTGTTTAGCTGATCTGGAGACCATGTGTCTGTTATTAACACCTTCCCTGTTGGTTTATCTGTTTATGCTCAAGGTCTTTAACCAAGTGTTCTTCCTCCTGAGATTTCCAGTAACTTCAGTCTTTTTTCCCCTTATTTTCCCCTACTGCTCATCTCCTGACTACTTCCCCTTTGATAGTCTCTGGGGGCTGAACCTCAAAGCCATCTCAGCTTCCACTGGAAAATTCATGCTTTACCAGACTCAATGTCTTCCTCAAATGACATCTGGAGTGACAGAGCTGCCCTCAGCTGGGTGTTGGGCTTTCTCCCTACAGCTTACTGGAGTGCTGCACATATACACACACATATACATGTCCTGCTCTAATTCCCTCTATTCCTCAGTTCTCTGGCTAAGTATAACTGCAGCACAGGGTGCTGCTACACTGTAGTCCCAAGCATAACAAGCTTCTGCCTTCTGGCTTTCCGTGGCACTGGGAGGAGGGAGGAGAGGACAGAAGTGAGTTCTGGTGCAAGTCTGTGGGTTAGCTTCTGTAACCCTGTTAGAGTGTGGCGGGCAATGGGGCAGGTGATGAGTGAGCATGTTAGTTCTGTGCTATTAATTCAGTGGATTGTTACCTTGTTGGGGTTCCTGATGTCCTAGACCAGAAGACAGCTGAAATTGCTTTATTATCTCTTGCACCTAATTCCTATTCTGGGAGATGTTTTGAGGATCTAGTTCTCCATCTTGTTGGTCATGTGACATCTCTTATTTTCATATAAACCTTAGATGTTCATATATAAAAAAACAAGGCCTTAAAAAATTAGCCTTGTTCTTCAAACAACAAATGTATAAATGTTTTTGCAGAGAATATGCTTGAAGTTACCTTCACACTTGAATGCAACAGGTAAAGAAGATAACAACCTGAAGTTCCAGTAATTTCTCGTCTAAAAACTACGTACTTACCCATTGGTAACTAAGACTCCACTTGGGACCAAATCTCTGTTGACAGCTTCCAACGACCAACGATACAAATTCTGAGATGACTTCTTATTTGTTAAGTCATGGACTAAAATAATGCCTAAAATGCAATAGGAAGAAAATTACCAGTAACATCACGGCTCCTTTTGTTCCTAAACTCCACTAATTCAAATATGCAACTGCCTCATGAGTTGAGAATCCTAGTATTTGATTCAACATGCTAAACCAGAGGTGGGGAACCTGCAGCCTCAAGGCCACATGTGGCTTTCTAGGTCCTTGGCTGAGGCCTTTTGACTGAATCCAAACTTCACAGAACAAATCCTGTTATTAAAGAATTTAATAAAATTCTAAACTAAGAAAAGGTTCCTTCATAAAAAAAGTGTTTTAAACTCTTTGAAAAACTTTCTTAAGTAACTAGATTAACTTATTTTCCCCTACTGCTCATTTTCTGACTACTTCCCCTTTGATAGTCTCTGGGGGTTGGACTTCAAAGCCATCTCAGCTTCCACTGGAAAATTCATGCTCCACCAGACTCAATGTCTGAGCTTCACTGATCTGTGAAGGCTGAGGTAATGACACTCAATAGCTGCAGTGACCACCTCACCATTAAAGAGAACTAGAAAAGGCTGAAACCAAGAATTTATACCCAAAGGGCATTTATTGAGTATTTAGGTACTAGGTATTTACAGCACTATGCTATACACAGGTAGTACTAATACTACAATAATTTTTTTAAAAGTGACATCATAAAGCAAAACCTTATTAATCTGATATTGGTTTATAAGAAAAATAACAGTTCACATTTACATGGTTTACAGGGCATGTTCCTCACAACAAGCCTATGTGGGAGTTAGGATAAGTACTATTATGCTCATTTAACAGACAGGGAAACTAAAGCTCATGGTCATGACTTGGCAATGGTCAGTTAGTAAAGCAATGGAGTAGAGAGTAGGGCCAATGTCTTCGGATACTAACAGCTAAGCTGCTTGCAAGCTGCCAAGGGAGAAAAGGGGCAGAAGGGATAAAGATAGAGAAGAGAATGTTATTCTTTAGTTTATAAGATATAGTACATTTAACTTGAATCAAATTAGTTCAAAAAAAAAGTCCATTCTTAAAACTTCTTACATTTAGAACTGACATATTCTACAGTAATACTGTAGTTCAGAGTTGAATTTAAAAGAGCAAAAGGTATACACAGGGTTAAGAAAAAAATCTAAGAAGTATAAATATTAATAAATTTGTGAGAAAAATATGAAAAATTCACAATGTAGGACTAATGAAGCTAAGGAATATGCAAAAGTAGAATTAGTGAAAAAGTAGAATCCATCAAGGTCCTTAAAAAACTGGCAGAGTTTTTGTTTTCTGTTTTTTTCCAGTAAGACAGGGAAAGAAAAAAGATCACTGATAACTAGTGGCTATAGGTGAGATGATAATTCATAGGAAACAGCTATTGCTCATTATAAATTCAATGGTCTAGCCTAATTGTTTTTGAGGGACTGAAAAATGACATGAGAGAGTACAGCAAGTTGGCAGGATGCCAGTAGGTCACACCTCAACTCTCAGCTTTACCACTTTTGCCCATAATCCAGAAGTGAATAAAAACTGAAAAATCTCACACCCTCCAGACATAGTGGTACCATCAATTCCAAATGGGAGGGCAGAATTTTCTGCCCCTTTCTGATCTTCTAAACCATTTGTTTATATGTTGTTTGTCTAGGGCAGGCCTGCAGATCACTGCTGAATCTCATTACAGCAAACTAAAGATACGTGCTACTGCTTTTTTGTGAATCTGGAGCTGAAAAACAGATTTGAATGAGAAGAACAAGTGAATGCATTTGGGGAAATATGCCAAAAACACAACAAAAGAATAAGAAAAAAGGTATTAAGGGACTTTTCTGATAACTAAGATTAAAGATTAAAATGGACAAAAATAACTCAATTTAATAAACTTAAGTACCTCCTAGATACAAAGTATGATCAAAGACAAAAAAAAAATCAAATTGTCCTTGAACTTAGGGAACTTGCTTTTTACTAGGGGGATAAAAGGTATACAAAAGTAATAAATAAAAAGAAATCAAGGAACTACTCTGACTTTCATCTGCAAAAATATAAGAGAAAAAGACAGATTCGCATATCCAGACAGGTTTCTTTTTTGAAACCAGGATCATATGCTTTCCTAATGAGAAATCTGTAAAGTTTTTTTAGTATTTGAATGTGGGTCTTAGTATTCAATTTAATTCAAACATTTATTAAGCCCCTACTATGAGCAAGGAAAGGCAGCAAGGAGTAGTGCATAGAGTGAATAGTCAGAAAGACCTGAGTGTGAATCTCCCCTTTGACATATACTACTTGTATGACCCTGGACAAGTAACTCTCAGTGCCCCAGGCAGCTTCCTCACTTGTGTGCTACAAAGAAGGTGTGGCCTGCAACACTGGAGGAAGTTACTCACATGCAGTGCCCATAATGGATATCTAACAAATGGCTGATGACAAGGCAGATATCCAAGTGTCCCTATTGTCAGGTCACACTAATGTCACAGGTGAGGATTCATTAGTTATCCCTTCCACATCATGACTTTCCCCATTGTGGTTTCAATATACTGTGAGCTGCCATAAAAATTTGGGAATCTTTTGGGAGTTTTACGGCAGCTGCAGACAACAAGTGAAGACCAACAGAAGATACAGAAAAAGTTTAGAAACTTAGAAATGCATAAAGTATATAGCATTGTATACCATGAACTCAAATTTTACAGTATGATACTGTAAACATCTCAAAAAAGAAAAAGAAAAAATTCAGACTTCTTCTGTGGTATGAAGGGAGGGCCAAAAAGTTTTACACAGAGTTTCCAGATTGCAGGGGTGCCGGGCCCCTTTGCCCCACAATGCGAAAGGGATAACTGTATAATTATCTGACAAAACCCAAGCTCATCACTCCCTGCGGAGCATGGGGTAAGATTCACCTCTTCTTTTCTTTTTTTTTTTTTTGCTGAGGCCATTAGGGTTAAGTGACTTACACAGCTAGTTAGTGTCAAATGTCTGAGGCTGGATTTGAACTCAGGTCCTCCTGACTCCAAGGCCAGAGGTTTGTCCACTGCATCACCTAGCTGCCCCTAAGATTCACCTCTTCTAAGAAGCTTATCCTTTGGTTATTGTTTTATTTTATCTTTTCTCAATAGTTCTACTACATGTCTCTATACCATGATCATTCACAAAATATATGCTACCTTGTTGTTTTTATAGTGGATCCATGTAAGTTTAATGCCTCCAATTGGCCGTGCCACTTGTCAGAGGCTAGGATTGGTGGGTCATGGGGTACCCAATATGGTAATTCCTATATTCTTACATAAGTTCTTAAAAGGGCAAGTACTGTCCTTTACTTTTTTTTTGGTACCCCTTACAGCATTTTTCTCTAAGTCTATACAAGCAGCAGATGCTTGACAAATGCTACTTGAATGTAGGTATGGCACAGTCTATAAAGAGCTATATATTCTAACAAAGAGCTATAAACCTTCTGGAAAACCAGAGACACTTGGGTCACTACAGGTCAGCGAAGGACTCTTCGGTCAGCAAACCTGTGTCATTAACTGCAATTTGGCTTCAGGGTACCTTTGGCTCCCATTAAATTAAATAAACAACAACAAAATATCTAATAATGTGTGCAGAGCACTGTGTTAGGTCCTGGGAAAAAGACCAATTTTAGATAAGACAGAATTCCTGCCCTTATGGAACTGACAACATATGTAAGGAAGACATACATAAATATTACATATTACAAAATAGACAGTAAAGGCAAGTGAGGTACGCAGGACTATGAGAAACTTGAGGAGGAAGAGATCATTATTGACTGGATGAATCAGGGAAATATACATGAAGAAGGCAGCATCGGAGCTGCACTTTAAAGGACATACAGGAATTCAACCATCACAAGAAGACAGGGCTTGGTTGCTTAGAGAAGGAGAAGAAAAGATAGTCCAGGCACCGGGAACAGCATTAACCAAGTCACAAAAGTGTGGGGTGTGTACTGACAGCCAGTAGTGCAGTGTGCCTATGTAGGAAGCACGAAGTACGTAAAGGGGAACAGATAAAGTTGGAAAGGTAGAGTAGGCCACATTGTGTACAGTGGTCGGTTTAAACTGAACTTTATTCAGAAGACAACAGAGGCCCGCGGAAGGGTTTTAAGAGAGGAATGAATGACACAAACAGATCTATGCATAAGGAAAATTAATGAGGCAATGGTATTAGAGATGAATTGGAGGGTGAATTCCAAGACTGGAAGGAAGAAGATCACAACAATGGGAATGGAGAAGAAAGGAGAGATTCAAGGGATTCTGTAGAGTTAGAATCACAGGACTTTCTAACTAATTAAATATATCATGTGAAGGACAGGGAAGAGTCAAGGATAATAAAGTTTCAAGCACAAGAGGTTGGGTGAATGACAGTTTACTGACAAAAAAAATACAGGAGCAGTAGGTTTTTGAGGAAAGATCAGAAGCTCAAATGTTGGGTTCAAAGTACTGCTGGGAAAGACACATCTAGGTAGAACTATTCTATAAGCAGTTGGAAGTATGGGTCTGGGGCTCAGTTATCTGCCACAGCCACACCAAAGGGTATGAATAGGAAAGAGTGGAGATGTAGCGAAGGTGTCAGAGCAGGAACTGGTGAGGTCTCACTAAAGGAGAACCACTAAAGTAAGGTCTTTCTGAAGCCCAGGAGGGGGAAAAATACATAAGGAAGGTCTACAGTGGTCAACAGTGCCAAATGCTACAGAGGGGTAAAGGAAAAATAAAGCCCTTGGTGGGGAAAAAAAAAGCCTTCAGATTTGGCAATCAGGAATTCATCATTGACTTTAGAGATTACTGTGGGATTGTGAGAATGGTGAGGATAGAAACAAGACTGAAATAGGATGGAAACTGAAGAGGGAATGAGTGGTGAGGATTTAGAGGCAACAGATGTGGAATAAAAAACCAAAAACAACAACAACAAACTTTTTCAATAAGTTTGGCAGTGAAAGGGAAGAGTGATATGAGATGAAACCTTAGAAGGGTCACAGGAAAGTTTCTGCCTTTTATTATTTTTTTTTTTTAAAGAATCAAACTTCATGGCACCTCCACCTCACTCCTCTGCAGAGATGGTAGATCCACAGGTGTGGTACACCGCCCATGTCGTAGAGGTTTTCAATGTATCAATCATTTTTGCTTATGTTTTCCCCTCTTTTACCTTTTTCTTAAAAAAAAAACCTGTTATATGGCACAGAACTCTTAGAGGGGGTAGAAAACTAGAAGAAGTTTTGGTAGTGTAAAAAAGTTATCAATAAAAATGTATTTAAAAAAAGGAATTAAATCTCATTTTAATCTCAAGTTATAGTAATGAGAACGATACAGATGGAAGTGAGGGTAGCTAGGTGGCACAGTGGATAGAGTGCTGGGCCCGGAATCAGGAAGACCTGAGTTCAAATCTGACCTCAGACACTTACTAGTCGTGTGACTCTGGACAAGACACTTAACCTTTTTGCTTTAGTTTCCTCATCTGTAAAATGAGCTGAAGAAGGAATAGCAAATCACTGCAGTATCTTTGCCAAGAAAACCCCAAATGGGGTCACGAAGAATCGAACACGACTGAAACTAAATGACGACAACAAAAGATGGAAGTATTAAGGCAAAATAAATAGTTTGATGCTATAACACATGTAGGGAAATTCAAGATCCACAAAACTGTGCTGGTCCTTAAGTTTCAAGTTCAAACCAACCACACTAACCATTTGATGAACTGAATGGATATGACCCTCTAAAGTCACTTGGCGTTCCACGTCAGATGATCTCTATTTCCAGTGCATACTGGGTAGGCGTCTCATTCATACTTGGGGAGTGAAAAAACCAAATACTTTACCATTTACGGAGTTGAAGAACACTGCTCGTGTGCTTTTCACGCTGCTGGCACCGCCCACTGACCCTCCAACATCCCACAATTCAATATAGAAGGTCTTTTCTTCTGGTGTTCCTTCCTTATAGTCATGAACCTGGTAAGTCAAATAAGGAACTACAGTAACTACTAAATAATGACTTACATGTATATAACACCTTATGGTTACTAAGCATTTTCAGATATACCATTGCATTTGATGCTTATAACAGACCTATGAGGTAGGCAGGGCAAGTGTCATTACCTCCCTTTTGCAAATTAGGAAAACTGGATAAAGACAAGATTAAGTGACGTGACCAAGGTTCTACCACTAATAAATGGTGGAACTAAGACTATAACCCAGGTCTTATGGCTCTACTATACCCAGCTGCCTCTCTACATAGTCCTGTGATTTATGCTTCTTCCTAGTTATACCCTATAGAACCACCACTCCATTGTGAGTAAATTTCCTTATTACAAAAAAAAAAATCCAGGTTTCAAACATAGATAATAGGATCTGGAATTCAGTTCTCCCACCACGTATCTCAGGACTGGAGATAAAGGATCACAGAGGTGATAGCTGAAGCTATGCAAGTGAACAGATTGCCAAGAGACAGAATGTATAGAAAGAAGGGTGAAGACAGAACCTTGAAGAACACCCAGGTTAAAAGTTCTGGGAGACAGAAAGGAGTGATTTGGTGGTGTTAGTGACAGAAGATGGAAGTCAGAAGGGCAGCAGGTGTTGAGGGAAAGGTAATAAATTCATTTATGGGCACACTAAGTTCAAAAATTTAAGGTTTATATTATATACCATCCTTTAGTATTTGATGAGATAGTCAACTTCATCTTTCCAGAACTCAGCTACCTGGCAACCTAACCTCTCTGGGAAATTCAAAACATCAGATCTTAAAAGGGCCTCAGAGTTCACTGAGTGCAAGCCCTGAGCAGGAATCTACAACATCCCTGATCAAACAGACACCCAGCCTTCACTTTTAGACCTCCAGTGATTGGGAGCCACTGCTTCCAGGGGTAGACCATCCCACCTTTGGATGACCTTTCTGCAGGTCTCAATACTGTCCCCAGTTCTATGCACTGGGGCCAAGCAGGACAGGTATAATCCCTCTCCTACATGACATTTCTTCAAATACTTGAAGACTGCTATCAATGATATGTATATATAGCCCCTATCTGCATCCAGAGAAATAAAAGTATGCATAGAATGATTTTACATATACATACATATTTGTGTCTCAGGGGGGAAGGGAAGGGAAAAAAAGAAGGAAAAAATTTACATGATAACTATTATCTATTTAAAAAGAATAGCAAGTTGTACATGACAGATTCACAGTTTCATGTGTAGCCATCTTTTTAAAAAAATATGCTATGTTAAGGAAATGCTTGTTTTATTCCATAAATTAAAATAAAATTTTTTTTAAAATAACATATAGTCCCATTAAGTCTTGTCGAAAATTATCTTTAGTTGGGGTTTGGGACAAGAAGATAAGGGATTAGAGTGCAGAGAATAGCGTAGGTAGGAATTGGTTCACTCAAGCCCCGGAGATGGGGAAGTGTGGAGAATATAGTCAATGCAGGGGTGATGGCCTGGGGTAAAATGTAGGGTGGATGGATCAGAAATCATGGTGAAAGCTACACTTCTTCTGCTTGGTGCTGAAGTGTGATCAATAGGAAGAAGTCATGGGAAAATAGATTGGTGGTACTTTGTGAGGCAAAGTCCTGTGAGAAAGATTCCCACCTCAGAATACTTTTTAAAAGTATTTTTTTAAGTCCCACCTCAGACACATATAAGCGGTGTGACCTTTAACAAGTCATTTAACTTCTCTAATTTTCAGTTTCTTCATCTGTAAAATAGGGGTAATAATAACACCAACCTCACAGAGTTGTTGTGAGAATCAAATGAATTAAAGATTTATAAGGTACTTGGTAAACTTTAAATCACTATATAAATGCTAGCTATATTATTAGTGCTAGTTTTGCTGCTGAAGGCGTTCAAATATGGTTTTAATGACTGGAGTGAAACAGATGACCTCCAAATCTAAAGGCCTATGATTCTGTGAAATTAAATAACACACACAAATGAAAGTGCTTTGTAAATTTATTAACAGCTATGTAAATACAATACATTATTATTACTGTATTACAGTATAACAATTGATGGTCATTGTGATAACTCTGTGCTACCAATGAAAGGTTAAAGTAGATTTATTATCCTCTGTTTATGAAGACAGGAAAACATACACATGAGTAAAGTTTACATCTTAAATGGTTACAACATTGGAAAAGTATTGGTACTTGTTATCTCTTAGTTATCTAGCTGATCTGACCATTCAGAACAACTCCTTGACTATGAGTTCTAGATAACTAAGATTTTATGATATTCAAGTTAGTACTTTATTAGATAGCACCTTATATAATTCTCAAGTGGTTTTATGTACACCTCCCCTCCAATCCTCCAACTATATGCAATGGGGTATAAGTATAAGTCCTTTGAAGACAGGACCACATCACATGCTTGCACTGAAACTTCCACAGCAAATTCTAGGCACACAGTAGTTAGATGCTCCATAAATACTTCCTGTCTTGAACAGACTTTAAATGACATGACTAAATAGTGCCTTTCAGTGCTAACACTGAACTATAAGATTATATCAGATTTCACAAGTGAGTAATTCAATTCCTAAGAGAAAGCCTGCTGTTGACACAGTAAATGGCACCTTCTTCAAAGTCATTGCTAGCCTAAAAACACAATGTGGTAAGAAGTAATATAAAACATAAAAAGACATATTCTTTTTATGGAAGACAGGTCTTAGAGGACTTGAAATTTATGGTCATTAAAGATCCTACAGAAATTTTTGGAACAGTGCAGCACACCGATGGGCTGTTCACCAAGTGAAAAGAGGCACTTCAACATCTTCAGTTTAAAGTTCTGTGGTTATTAAGGACCTTCTCACTTGCTAAGACTCTTAAATTTTTATTAAACACCAAATTAGCAGTAAATAGATGGGATGTTTGTCCCATTTTTAAAAATTTAATTTTTTGAGGTTACACTTTAAGTTCCAAACTGTCTCCTTCCCTTCCTCTCCACCCCACACGAGAGAAGGCCACCATTTGACACAGTTATTTCTCTGGAGGTGACAGCATTTTTCTTCCTAGGTTCTTTGTAGCTGATCTGAGTATTTATAATATTCAGGATAACTTAGACATTCACAGTTATTCTTTGAACAATATTGCTGCTAATGTATACAATGTTCTTTTGGTGTAGCTCATTTCGCTCTTCATTATTTCATGTAAGTCTTTCTATGTTTTTCAAAATCAACCTGCTCATCATTTCTTACAGTATCCCAACACAATTATATGCCACAACTTGTTTAGCCATTCTCCAACTGATGGGCGTCCCCTCAATTTCCAGTTCTTTACCACCACAAAGTGAGCTACTATAAATATTTTGCAACACATAGGTTCTTTTCCTTCTTCCCTGATTAACTTGAGAAACAGACTTAATAGTACTACTGCTGGGTCAAAGGGTATACATAGTTTTATAATTCTTTGGGCATAATTCCAGACTGCTCTCCAAAATGATTCAATCAGTTCACAGTTCCAACAGTATATTAGTATCCAAATTTTTCCACATCCTCTCCAACATTTGTCATTTTCCCTTTCTATCATTTTAGTCAATCTGATAGGTTTGAGATGATATATCAGAGTTGTTTTAATTTTGTATTTCTCTAATCAATGATTTAGAACATTTTTTCATATGACCATAGAAAGCTTTGATTTCTTCATCAAAAAACTGCCTATTCTTATGCTTTTGACCTTTTATCAATGGTGAAATGACTTATATTCTTGTAACTTCAACAAAATTCTCTATATATTTGAGTTATGAGATCTTTATCTGAGAAACTGCTTATAAAATTTTTTTCTCAATTTTCTGCTTTCCTTCAAGTCTTAGATACATTAGTTTTATTTGTAGAAAAGCTTTTTAATTTTATGTAATTAAAATTATCCATTTGACATCTCACAATGCTCTTTTTCTTTTGTTTATTCATAAATTCTTCTCTTATCTGTAAGTCTGATAGGTAATATGTTCCATGTTCTTCCATATTTTCTTGTAGTATCTCTCTTTCTATCTAGGTCATGTATCCATTTTAACCTTATCTTGGTAAATGGTATAAGATATTGGTCTATACCCAATTTCTGCTCAACTGTTTTCTCAACAATTTTTACTTGTGAATTCTTATCCCCAAAACTTAAATCTTTACAATTGTTAAACACATGGCTACTATAATCATTTACTACTGTTTATTTTATTGCTACTCTGCTCCACTGATCCACCTTTCTATTCCTTAGCCAGTACCAGATTGTTTTGATAATTAGTACCTTATAATATAATATACTTCCAAACTTCCTTCCTTTACATTTTTTTCATTAATTCCTTTTATATTTTTTTGTTCTTCCAAATGAATTTTGCTACTTTTTTCTACCTAAATAAAATAATTTTTAGTAATTTAGTTGGGATGGCATTGAATTAATTTAGGTAGAACTGTAATTCTTATTATATTGGCTCTGCCCACCCATTAACAATTAATATTTCTCCAATTATTTAATCTAACTTTATTTGTCTAAAAAGTATTTTATAATTATGTTCATGTAGTTCCTGGGTTTGTTTTGGCAGGTATACTTGCAGGTATTTTATGCTAAGGTTATTTTAAAGGTGGTATCTCTTCTTACAGGGTTTTGTTGGTTATATATAGAGACGCTGATGATATATGTAGGTTTATTTCATAACATACTACTTTGCTAAAATTATTTCAACTAGCTTTTTAGTTGAATCTCTAGGATTTTCCAAGTATATCATCATATCACCTGCAAAAAGAGATATTAGCTCATTGCCTATTTTGATTCCTTCAATTTCTTTTTCTTCTCTTATTGTTAGAATTTCTAATACATTATTGAATAATATTGGTGAGAATGGGCATCCTTGTTTCACTCCTGATGTTATTGAAAAGGCTTTTAGCTTATCCCCATTACAAATAAAGCTTGCTGATGGTTTTAGGTAGATGCTTCTTATTGTTTAAGGAAAAATCCATTTATACCTATGCT